CCTCACACACACACACACACACACACACACACACACACACACACACACACACGCACGCCCGCACGCACACCCCCCCCACACACACATGCACGCACGCACGCACACACACCCACACCCACACACATGCAGGTCTCAGGCAGCAGTCATGGTAATGTTATTAGCTAAACAGTATGCCCAATTCACAGATTTGAGACCTGAGTCACAGACAGGATAAGTAACTTTAGGTCACCCAGCGTCATCCATGACAATACATTCATTACCTGCGTCTAGCAACTAGAGATTTAGACTGCAAGCTTCTGTTCAAGAGTGGGTTTGCCTAAAACACTCAGGAAGGGGGTTTACAGCACAAGCAGCAGCAAGCTGTAAATTCCACTCAGTTTGCCCTCGTCTCTACTGAATCTTTCCTCTCCGTTCCGGATGATCCGCATCCGGGTAGGGCAAGGCTGTCTCTATTACTGAGACGGCAGGGCGCAAAGTCCAGCCCAGGCCTTGCTCACTAAGATACTTGCCCTGCCTGTGACATGGGGACATTAATAGGTAATGACTCAGAGGAGCCTGGGCAGGGAAATGCAGAGGCCTGGGGCCCCCTAGAACCAGGAAGGTAGGAATAGGGATGACTGTGGGGTCAAGCCAGAGGTCGGGGTACCTGGGCGTGAGTCTCTCCACAGAGGTAAAGAGCAGGTAAAAACAGCACTGTAGAAAGTGAAAGCTAGCCAGAGGCCAGGAAAGAAATTCAAGCTCAGACAGGGCTGGCGGAAACCTACACTCAGAAATGTTGACTGCGGCTGAGCCCACACATCCCTGGGCTCTAACGCACTACTGAACGCAGGGTTCCCTTGACATTGACCAGCTCAGCTCCTGCTCAGCTCCCGGCCCGATGTCACCCCTGAGCGGGAGCCGGAAGGCCGGAAGCACCCTTTCTTTCTTCTCCTACCAACCCTTGATCCCACAGCCTAAGGCCTGCCCCCCACCCTCAGGGCAGTCACAGAGGGAGCAGACGGGGACTGTCACAAGAACACATTTTAAGTGAGCGATTGGTTGGTCCCTGCCATGGGGCCTAAGCTCTTGGTCTGTGACCTCTGTGGCCCCACAGTGCGTGGCTTCTGGGCATCTCTGGCCCTCCATATGGGAAGGGAGGGGAGGGGGCTTTAGGCATTCCACCTCCCCGAGACTGGGGAGGGGCTCAGCTTGGTGTTGGGCCTCGGAATGGAACAGTATGGAATACCGTTGATACCGGCTTTATCCCCATCTGGGTCCCTGCCTCAGTGGCCTCCACAGATACAGCAGCTCGGGCGTGGAGGATTTTAAAAAAACCACTGTGGCCCCCCAGGGAAGCAGGACTCTACTGACAGACCAAAGCCAGGCCCGGGCCCCTCCTTAGTCCTTCCCCTGAAGCTTGGCTGTACCTCAGCCCTGTAGAAAGGTCCCAGTGCCAGCAGTGGGCTCCTAGTTATCCTGGAGGTCAAAGGGTAAGGAAAGGCTCAGTTTCCTCCCTCCCCCCTTGCCTGGCCCAGACACTTGCTGGGTCCAACAGACCCCTGGGCTGAGGATATCAGTAAGGAAGGGACTTGCCCACTAGTTGGGCTCTTCGTCCAGATCCAACCCAGGGCCAAGGGAGAAAAAGCATGTTCTGGAGAGGGTGAGTTTGGTATGCCCTTACAGCAGGGCCCCCAGTGTCCCTCCTCATTTGCTCCTTCAGAAGTTCAAGCCCGCCCAACACTCCGTTCGACAAGGGAGAGGGTTCTGGTCTGTCTCTCACCCACCCACAGTCCCCAGCTCTGACCTTGTGTCGGAATTCCCGGGCCACCTTCCGATCCATGGCTGAGCCTGCCCTGTTGCGTGCGTGCGTGGCAGCTGAATCGACTCCTTAGGGTGCGCTGCCTGTCTGCAGTGCTCAGTGCCCGGGTGGGTCAGCCACTCCGCAGAGGACCTGCCTGCCTCTGGGCTAGGGGCGGGGCCTCGCAGACTCAGGGGCGGGGCTGGGAGGAGAAAAGGCAGCCTGGAGGCGGGGTCAGCTGTCCTGGGGCTCAGCACCGAGGCTCTGAAAGCGAAGGGGCTCCCGGTGCTAATACTGGCTTGGCTGGTGAGGCTGCCCGGTTTTCTTGTTTCCGTTTGTTTTTTTGTTTTTTATTTTTATTTATTTATTTATTTATTTATTTTGGAGTGGTTCCTCCTGCACGTGATTAAGGCAGAAGACTTAGGAGAGAAGATGCCAGGCAGGTGGGGCTGGGGGTTAGCTTTAACTTCTTTTTTCTTCTTGAAAGTGTCTCATGTAGCCCAGGCAGGCCTTGAACTCAGTATGTAGCCGCCGAGGAGGCTGGCCCTGAAGTCCTGACTCTCCTTGCCTCTACCTCCCAACTACTGGAATCACAAACCTGGGCCAACTTATCCAGCTGGGGTTTGGAAATGTTTGTGGTGGCACTGGCATAGAGTACAGTCTCTTCCTGTGGGTGGTGGACTCAGGCAGAAGCCATCGCCTTCCTGAGCCCACCTCCCCTCCCCCACCCCTTGCTCACCCAGGGGTGAGCTTCACCCAGGCCTCCTCCATTCACCTTCTAGTATGAAAAGTCTTGGGGCGGGCTGGTCTGACTGTGACTCATGGGGGCCTGCAGGTGTGGGGAACACCCAGCCACTGGCTCACTTTCACTCCGGGCTTTGCTAGCTGCTCTGTCCCCAACAAAGCAGGCGGTAACCCAGAATACACTGCTGTGCCTAGGGCCTTTAATAGAGTACGTGTTCGCATGCTCATGCATGAGACAAGGCGATCATCAGTGGCCGGATCAAGTAGGCACTTACGCTGTAGCTCCAGAGACATGAGAAGGCTCTTTAGATCCCTCTGCTGAGTGCCAGAATTTAGCCAGCTGGTTGTTTTCATGGGGGCTAAATTACGGCCTCTGTTAAGATATAACATTATGCCTGGGGAAATAACTTTGAAAATATGATTTGTATTCTCACCTTCTGATCCAGGTTCATTCTGGTGCTGAGAAAAACACTCTGCCTAGAGGCAACCTGGGGAAGGAAAGGGTTGTCCCATCTTATGAGTCCAGGTCACATCCACGGTTGGCAGGAGTAAAGGCAGGAACCCAAGTAAGAACTTGTAGCGGAAACTGGAGGGATGCTCTTCTGGCTCACTGGCTGGCTCACTCGCTCCCAGAAGCATGCTTAGTTTGCTTGTAAAATCCAGGACCACTTGTCTAAGGATAAAGCCGCCCTCTGCATCAATTAATAACTAAGACGATCCTGTACACTAGCCCATAGGCCAATCTGAGCCAGGCAATTCCTCAGTCAAGCCTTTCCTCTCAAGTCATTCTTAAATTGTGTCAAGTTGGCAGTTAATATAAACTAAGATTCTTTGCTATCCACTAGGTAAGTCATAGCGAGAGCTGTAGTTGTTTAGAGGTTCAGAGAAGAGGGTACAAGGTATGGTCCTCTTTCGATTTAGGGGTTTAGGTCTTTGATTCTCTGCCTGCCTGCCTTCCTTCCTTTTGAAAGTTTATGTGTTTACTTATTTTTGTGTGTATATGAGTATTTTGCTTGCATGTCGGTAGTGCAGTGGTGTCTGCGAAGGCTGAAGAGGGTTCCTGGAACTAGAGTGATGGTCAGTTGTACGCCATGTGTGTGCTGCGAACTGAATCCCAGTGCTCTGCAGGAGCAACAAGTGCTCCTGACCACTGAGCCATCTCTCCGGTCACATCTGTGTTTCTTAAGTACGGCATGCGGCCTTTGGCTTCCTAGTTAGAACCCAGAACAAAGACTGTCCTTACGCAGCAGAACACAGCGCGCAGCCACCTGGCCCTTCTTTCCTGTGACTGTAGACATCTTTTAAAAACTACTCCCTACTTAACTTTTAGTGTGACTGGGTCCTGGTCCCCTTTCCACAAACGCCTCTGCTCTGAGACCACTGCGTTCTACAGGGCTATCTCGTTGACTCAGCCAGTGCCTTCAAGGGGCCAGCCTACCCACCACATGTTTAGAACAGTAAGTACCACACAATAGATTCTTAATACATCTGCTAAATGAATGTGTGCGTTCCAAACTATACCCCTCCCCAGGGGTTTGTGAGGGGCCAGTTCTCCCTACAAAATACCTCTTGTTGATAAAACCACAGTTGTAGTCATCACTCTGGCCTGGATAGGGACAACAAAGCATGTCGGCATTTCCTGGACCATCACTGGCACTCTGAGCACTGAGGTCTGGCCTTCCCTGTTTGAGCCCTTACCGAGGATAGCATGGTGACTTGGGCCCAGGTGGAAGTCAGAGCTATGGACGCACAGACTAGGACTTGAACCCTGGGCCCTCTCTCTACCACTGACTGTTGAGTGGCTCATCCCAGAGGTAAGGATGCAGGCCGCCGGCCTGCCCCAGTCACCTGGCAGAATGCACTCAGGCAGTACCCTGGTCAGCCCAGGGTTCCATGATGGCATAGTCTGCCCGCAAGTGCAAAGGACCCCTTTAAAAGAAAGACCACCCCCCTTTACTCTTTCCAGCTCTCTGCTCTCTCTTCCCCTCCCCCGCCCCTCTTTCCTGCTGTCCCCTGGGGCCGACAGGACTTTCCCTGTCTCTCTCTGTCTCTTTGCCTCTTTTTCCTTTCCTGCCCACCTTTTCCTTTCTAATAAAACTTTCCACTTAAGCTCCGTCTGCCTGGCATGCTTGCCCCCCCCCCCCCCGCACCGCCCGCTCCAGGCTGTACCAGAACACCTGTTCTTGGGGGAGGGAATCGGGGTCTTCACAGGTGGCCTCCTTGCTCCCCCGGGGGCCTTCCCTGGGGAGGGATAGTTACAATGGCACTGAAGGACAGAGGCTGGGCTGTAGCCCGGCTCTAAACTTAACTTATGGTAATGAGCTGGGCAGTCCAGCCACTCTAGCCTGGGGAGGAGTCCAGTGCCTGGGAGGAGGGCCTAAGGGAGCCGCCGGGTATGAGAGGGGCGGCTGCTTCCAGAGGAGGCGAGACCCACCTCGGAGCAGAGCCGAGTGCGCGAGGCTCTCCGGCCGGTCCCCTCATGGGAGCCTGTGCCCGCAGACTAGGCTTGCTTCTCTCTTGCTGCTGTCTGCTCCGGGTTGAGCCTGCTGCTGCGGAGGCCCTGCGGGGGCAGCGTCGGGGTGAGAAGGGGGTGTGAACTGGGGGAAGCCCAGGGCTGGGCAGGTTGGAGAGTGTGAGACCCCCCCCACCCCCACCCCGTGAGAGGGGAGGGAGACTTTGAGAGAGCCCTGCCTGGGACCCAGATGGCTCTCAGTGACCCAGGGTGGAGACTAGAGGGAGCTGAGGCCCAAGGACAGAAGGAAAGAGGGGACCTTTCCTGAAGAGCCCCGGGGGCTGAAGAAAGGATTGGGGAATGCTGTGGCTGGGGCGCAGGCAGCGCTGGGTTATAGGGGTCAGGCTTCCCGACCAGCGGGACGCCCCGTCAAAGGGGGCTCACCTGCAGTGGACGCTATCATCCCTCCTCAGCATCAACGCTTCCATGGAAAGCCAGTGCAGAGCTTCAACAGGAGCCCGTTCCTGAGCCCGGGTGAGTGTCTGTCCACTGCCCCACCCTTATTGGGCAGAAATGATCCCAGGGGTTCAGCACATGGGGGTGGGGGTTGGGCTTCGGGGTGACTGGAAGCATGCCTGCTGCTAACTCCACACCTGTAGCAAGCTCATTTCTCATCTAGTCATGGCTACCAGGAGATGTCCCTTGCAGAAGACGCCACAGCAGTGATGGAAGGTCAGGTAAGAGGTCCTGGGGGAGGGGGTGTCTCTTTCGGGGCCTGAGGTAACCAAAGCTCTTCCTTGGGGGTTATTCAGAGAGGTGCAAACACTCCTGGTATCTGAATGTGCGAACTCATGGAACGTGCCTGTTTCTGTTTTCCTGGTCTCTTGGGTCCTTGGTGTTTTTGTTCTTGTTTGTTCGTTGTTGTTTTAGTTGGGGTGGGCACAGGCCTTTTCAGGAGACAGCTGAGTTCCCCTCCACCCCAGAGGGCAGCAGGAGAGGGTTTAAGAGAGTGGCTTCCGTTCTCCTCCCTGCCTGGCCCTGAAAGAGCGGAATCCTATCGCGGGCCCCCTCCATACCCTGAGCAGTGCCCCAGGAAGACAACTCTGGGAGACAAGGCAAAAACTGGGTCACCTGCTGGGGGCTGCAGGGAAAGATTCCCAGAGGGGCAAAGGCCCGAAAGGCGGGCAAAGCTTGAAGGAGGACATTTGAAGTTGTCCCCGACCTGCGCTCTCTCTCTCTCTCTCTCTCTCTCTCTCTCCCTCACACACACACACACACACACACACAGGCACAGGTGCGCATGTACACGCACACACACAGATAGAGACAGACACAGGCACACATGGACACTCACACACACATACATGCACAGAAACATGCACAGACACACACAGAGAAAGAGAGGGAGACACAGGCACACACACACACACACACACACACACACACCATAATCCAATGACTTCGGACCATCCCCTGGGGCACACTCTCCCGGGATCCCCCGATTCTGAAGGTTCATTTGCCAAACTGTTGATCTCTGAATTGGATGACTCAGATTCTCTTTCCAATCCTGACTTACACTTTTCTTCTCCTACAACCGCAGACACTTACACATCAGCCCACCTATGGTGAAGTTCCCTTGGAAGGCTTGACCCTCAGCTGTGTCCAGCTCGGGGTCACCCTTGGGTCAGTGAGTTAGGGGGAATAATTTATACTATAAAAATTTCCCCTGCTCTCTGCCCTTGAGGACTGGGTGCGGAAGCCCAGCATGGTCAGAGATAGCATGCCCCTGTCCAGTGCATGTTCTTTTCATTGATCTGCTCTTCCAGGCATCGGGTTTCAGGGTCCTGTACAATTTGAGTTGAAAAGTGGAAGTTGAAAGGGCTTTCTTTGCAGAGATAGGGAAGCTGACTTTCTGGGACCCCACAATGAGCAGGCCTGATCCTCTGCCCACAGGACTCTAGAAATCCTGCATCTTCACAGAGATAATGATCCTTTACATCCAAACCTCTCATTCCTGGTGGGGAGTGTGTCTCCTTTGCTGATTTCCTGGTTAGGCAGCTTCACCCTTTTCCACGGAGAAAGGGTCCTGTCTTAGAGTTTCTGTTCCGAGGATAAGATACCATGACCAAGAGCAACTTGGGGAGAGAAGTGTTTATCTACAACTCATCACAGCTCATCACTGAGGGAAGCCAAGACAGGAACTCAAGACAGGAGCCTGGAGGCAGGACCTGAAGCAGAGGCCATGGAGGGTGCTGCTTACTAGCTTGCCCCCCATTATTTGCTCAGCCAAGACCACTTGTCCAGGGTGACACTGCTCCAGTGAGCTTAGCCCTCCCAATGAATCATCAATCAAGAAATCCCCCCAGGATTGCTTACAGGGAAGTCTTATGGGGCATTTTTTCTCATTCCAGTCCCTCTTCCCAAATGACTCCAGCAAAGGTCCTGAGCATTTAGTTCAGGTGGCAGGCAGATAGCTCCAGATACTGCACAAAGCTAAAAGGACTGGACATGGTCTAATGGTCTCCCTATACTGTAACTGGGAGACTGAGGCCCACATATTGTGGAACTTTGGGGGGTTTCTATCCAGAATGCCTGGTCTAAGAAAGTAAGGATGGGTCCCAGGCTAGTAGCCAAGCAACCTTCCTTCCTTCCTTCCCTTGTCTCTTTCTCTTCCTTTTCCTTTTTGTAGCTGTGGCTAGCCTAGAACTTGCTATGTAGACTAGGCTGGCCTTGAACTCATAGACACCACCTGCCTCTGTAGAGCTCAGGTGTTCTCCAGCGGACTAGCGGTATGACCAGGAGGTAATGAACCAGACTGAGGAAAAAGATATTGTTCTGTCGGACACCAAGTGAGGGCTAGTATACTTTTGATTATTGCTACTGTAACCTCAAGAGTATTAGCAGTGCCAATTACCGACAGAAGCTACGGCATTTCCTATCTTCAGCATTCACGTTTGCTACTCTTAAAAGATGTACAGTTTTACCCGAGCCCACGTCAATAAAACATTTTCATTCTTACATTAAAATATAATTGGTTTCCTTTTGCAATCTTTCATTTTATGTATTTACACAGTTTTATGAAAAGGTGCCACCACAGGCCTCACCAGATTGTTAAAGGCGTTCATGACAAAAATGATTGCAAACCCCTGGTTGGTCCTGAAGACTAATTACTCGGGCAGGATTTAAAAATTCTCCAAGCCAGGGGTGGCAGTAATAATTCCAACATTTGCAGGAGGGTCAGGAGTTCAAGTTATCTTTGGCTAAGTGTCAATACTGTACCATCAAGAATTTCCCAGGAAATGGCTTTGGTGCTTTGTAGCTTTGGCTGTCCCCTGATCATAGTGAGGGCTTAGAAGGGTGATGGCTGTGATCCCTAAGGCTATGATTAATTAGAAGCTGTCCAGCGACTGTGGGAGGCGGGTGGCAACTGTTCCCTCCACACACCCTTTCCCATTCTCATGGTCTCCCTGGTGGTGGTAGAAAGGGGGGTGTATCTGATTTCTGGGATGATCTGAGAAGCAGGAGCCAAAGTGGGGCGAGAAGCTGCCTGGCTGACTTAGGATTGGTCAAGGACTTCTCAGGCAGGGAGAAGGGGGTCGTTTGAGCACCCGATCGATAGGAAGTCGGGCTTCACCCGCCAAGGTAGAGGGGGAAGGTGGCTCTGAGTCCTCTGCTGGAAGCTGGCTTCACCTTGGGCATCCGGACGACGAGAAAGAAGACACATGGGAGCCCAATGTGCTCAGCACGAATTAACTCTTCTCTGTTCCTAAAAGGAGGCCGAAGCTCTAGATGCAGTGGCCATGTCTTCGTGGGAAAGGCGACTCCACCGGGCCAAGTGCGCACCATCTTGTAAGCTGAGCCCTCCCTGTGGCCTGTGCAGAGCAGAGTCTGGGCAGGGGGGGCTGCCACTTGGGAGCTGCTTTCTGGGCTTGCAGTCTCTTCCTGCCTTCCCCAGGTTGACCCACAGGGCCTCCCTGTGCCCTGCTCACATCTCTGTAGCCTGGCTCTGGCTCACGCTCACGCTCACACCCTTTCTGGTCTTGCTTCCTACTTCCTGGGCGACGACGGTCCTTCAATGTGTTAGTTCCTGCGGTCTCTCTCCTCACCTCTCCTGTATCTCAGGCCTTCCCCCCCCCCCAGCTTTTATGTCTAGATGCATGTGCGGCATATGGCATCTGTGCTGTCTCCATCAGAGTCCCATGTTTGTGTCCTGCCTGTGACCCTTCCCTCGCCATGCTCCGTCCCCTCCTAATCTCTGGTCATTCTCTGGCCTGTGTTCTCACGCCCATCCCAATTCATACTTTGGCCTCTTCTCCTTGAATGGTGAATCTTCCCAAAGCCTTCATATTCTTGGTTTTGCTGTCTTGCCTGTGCTAGCCAAAAGTGTAGCTTAGGGAAGTCCCAGGCCAAGTGGCCTCAGGGCGACTTCATGCATCCTGAATGAAGGCCAAGGCTCTAACTAAGCCTGCACCCTGAATTTCCATCAGAAAATGTGCTATGCTATGGCCTTGAGCAGCCGTGTGGTCCCCATCAGGCTGGATGGCTGGGGCAGGGGCTTCACTTCCCTGGAGTCTCCTGGGAGGAGGAGCGTGTCTTGGTTCTGCTGGTTCGGTACAGTGGGTGACATTCCCCTGTCTCTCTTACAGATTTGTTCTCCTGCTTCAATGGGGGCGAGTGTGTGCACCCAGCTTCCTGTGACTGCAGACGCTTTAATGCCACCGGACCTCGTTGCCAGTTGGGTAGGTCTGATCTCTCTAGCCCCAGGAGGGGCCATGGGTGCAGAGAAGCTATAGGTCCAGAATCTGGGAGTAGTGCTGTGCCTGGGGAACGGAGGTGGCCCGGTCAGATCTGGGACTCACCAGTCTCCAGCGCGGTGCTCATACAGATCTACGCTCACTTTCCCCTGTCTTAGTATATAACACCGGTCCTGAGCGGGACAGCATCTGCCGGTCCTGGGGGCAGTACCACGTGGAAACCTTTGATGGCCTGTACTACTACCTCTCCGGAAAGGGCAGCTACACGCTGGTGGGACACCATGAACCTGATGGTCAGAGCTTCTCCATCCAGGTGAGATCTCCGCTCTCCTGCCCTGCCAGACCGTGCAGGCTCCACCAGGGCCTGGGAGCTGGGGAAGGCTAGGACCTTCCTTTTTCGCTTTGTTCCTAGAAAGAGCCACATGTTCTAATCCCCTGCTCACCCACTTACCCCTGGCTGCCCCTGGCTGCCTCTGGCCATTTGTTCATTTAGTCAGGTACATTTGCCCAGTACAGAGTTTCATGGTGGGGTGCCCTTAGGACAACAGCACAGACTCTTGTCCTTGCGGAGCTTCATTTTAATAGAGAAACCACCGCAAATGACAGCAGGCATTTCAAGTGTAACTTGGAGCTGCGTGGCCAAGTGTCAAAGTCTAAAAGGCAGCGTCCCGGACACCTGATCTGGACTATTGTGAAGGATGGCCGTGACAGAAGGGTTCTTGTAGGAAGTGACATTTATTGAGATAGAAAAGGAGACTCACGGGAGGTTTCCAAAAGACGAGAAGTGGAGGTCGGGGTGATGGGAGGGTTTCTAGACAGAGAAGCACTCATGCTAAGGAGGGGTACGGTGCCTCGGAGAGGGTGATGGGAGTCTTGGGTGACCTGTGTACACTTCTTCCTCTGAGAGCCCTCCTGTGTCTCCTGACATCCCGAGCAGCAGAGACACTGGATAAAAGCCCCCTCGGGTGTGTTACTGTGTCCTGGAGGGTCTCCTTTCCTACGCTGAGCCTCTCGGGGCCAGACCACGCCTTTGGGGCTTGTTCCCTGAACCTGGATGAGTGTCTGCCAATCAAAGCTTGTCGGACGCCCGAATGCCGTGTGAGACTTGGTGTCCAGCAGATGTGATGGCGTTTCTGACTGGCTGTGGCTGCAGTGGCGGGGACAGGATTAGGGAGTTCTTAGTGGTCCCTAGAGCATTCCTCCCCTGGCTGTCTGTGATCCTCAGGCATAGACTGAAGAGCATGTCCTGGGTGCCCAGGTGCCGTGACAAGCGTCACTTCCTACGGCACGGCCTATCACACCTTGGAGCTTTTTGTAACTGGGTCGTTTTCACAACCGATATGCTACAATTACACAGACATCACATGAATGAGTTATACAATCGGTGTAGTGAGTTATGCCCTGCATCAGAGACAGAATGAAACACACACTCTGTTTTGTTTATATAGAGATATTTCTGTGAGTCATGGCCAGACGTGCTTGATCTAGATTTAGTGGCACACACCTTAAATTCAAGAACAGAGGGATTGAGGGACGGAAGCAGGCGAATCTCTGCGGGTGTGAGGCTAGCTTGTTCCACACGGTGAGTTCCACACCAGCCAGGGTTACATTTTAAGACACCATATGAACAAAACCAACAATGCTTGAAAAACATTAACTTAGGACAGGGTGGCTTTCCTGATTCCCCCTCTCAATAAAAGAGGGCTTCCGCTTGGTTGGTCCACCATGTCTAAGAGTAATAGAGTGGAAAGTCGACTCCTGGGGAATTTCCACCCATGGCAGGTGACCTTTGAAAATCTTTCCCCCAAGCGTTAGAACCCTGCACTAGCCTCTGGATGTATGGCTCTTAAATCAGGGTTCTTGAATGGGGCCAAGCAGCATAGGAGGGTCTCTGTGTGTGCAGGACAGAGCCGGTCTCTGCATATTAGGAGTGTGTGAGGTATAGGAGCGTCTCTGCATGTTAGGAGTGTGTGGGGTAAAGGAGGGTCTCTGTGTGTGCAGGACAGAGCTGGTCTCTGCATGTCAGGAGTGTGTGAGGTATAGGAGGGTCTCTGTGTTTGCATGACAGAGCCGGTCTCTGCATGTCAGGAGTGTGTGGGGTAGGGGTGTGTGCATAGGGTGTCTGAGAGCATGTGTGTCTGGGTGTGTCTCAGTGTGCACATCTGTGTGAGGCAATGTGATGCATACCTCGCCTTTTGGTTGGATGGAACTTGGACATGCCCCAATGATCTGGGAGATGACTTGGTTCAGATCTGGGTCAGAGTCCCACCGTTGCTCTTTTCCAGTCTCGTGTGCATGTGGCCCTCGTCCCGTCTCTCTGTTCCCCAGACAGTCTTGAAATGCAGGCGGTCAGAGCGGTGTTTGGGGGGCAATGGGGGTCAGGGAGCAAAAGTGCTCAGCACACGGGGGTCGCATTGGTGGAGTGAAGCTCACGCTGGCCTGTGGCAGTGGCTGCAGACCGAACCCTGCCCCTGCTCCCCATCAGGTGCACAATGACCCACAGTGTGGTCCTGCCCACTACACCTGCCCGAGGTCTGTCAGCCTCTTCCTTTCGGGTGAACGTGAGATCCGCCTGGCCAAGGAGGTCACCCATGGAGGTGTAAGGTAACCATGACCTTCCATCTCCCTGATGTGGGGCAGAGGATCTCTGTCCCTGTCACGCTGAAGGGAAGTTGTAACTGGGGACAAGTGCACACCTGGCCTGTGTGTCTAGCCTGTGGTACCGGCAGACGGATGAATGCCTCCTGCTTCTCCACACCTATCAGATGCAGTGGGTTTCCTGAAAGATCTTTAGGAAAACAGTAAGAATTTCTAGAACCCATTAGATCTTTCTTGAGTTCATACACAGTTCCTCTGAACAGACACTTACACGTACTTAGCCTTTTCTGAGACAGAGGGTCATTTTGAATGACAGTTATGGTGCTGGACCATCAGGAATTCCTAGGGACCACGCGACGCCAGAGTGAGCCCGTCTGAATTGTCCTTGTCCTCTTCCTCATGCTCATTTCTTCTCTGCTGTCTGATGTCCTGAGTTGCTGCCCCAAGCTACCCCCTCTCCCCATGGCCAGGCCCAGAGCCTGCCCTGACCCTCTGGACCTGGAAGCTTAGTGCCAGGCTTCCTGGGGCAGACAGCAAAGCTGTGGCCTGAGGGGTTTCTCCTGCGAATAAAGTGGGCGTTCAGACCTATCCCTGGCTGAGGTTGGTTTCTCTTGTCAGCTGGGCAGGAGCTTCCAGGATCCAGACCCCTTGGCTGGGAAACAGAGAGGGGCAGGCATGGTAGGGTTCCTCTCTGTCCGTCCTCAGCCTTCTGTTCTTCATCTCTCCCCAACTCTTGCCACTCTTCCTGTTCTGGACCAACACAGTGAAATGAAAGCCTTCTTACGTGATACCCTCTCCCTCCCTCCTGTCTGGTGGGTTAGGGATTTATCCCTATCAACCACATCGTGATTTTGAAAGACCCTCTGAAGATAAAAGAATCCTGATGCACTTTGGTGCACTTAGGAGTTCCGGGAACTTGGAGGGTGGGGGTGTAAAGAGCTCATTTCGCTGGGTAGGGGTGGCTGGCCTTGTGGTGGCGAACAGGACCAGTGGAAAGCTATGTGGACACCCTGCAGCCCTGGGCCTTGCTCTCAGGGTCCAGCTGCCCCAGGCGGTGGGGGGTGTGCAGCTGCAGCAGCTGGCTGGTTATGTCATCGCACGGCATCCGTCGGCCTTCACACTGGCCTGGGATGGGGCCTCAGCTGTCTACATCAAGATGAGTCCGGAGTTTGTGGGCTGGACACACGGGCTGTGTGGGGACAACAATGCTGACCCTCAGGATGACTTGATGACCAGCTATGGTGAGTCCAAGGGAAGGTGCCGTGTGGGATATTTTGCTGGGGATGGAGTCTGGGTCAGGATAGGAGCAGTTGCTCTGGTCCGCCCTTGATGTCATGGTTATTGATGGTAGCGAAAACCCAAATGGCAGGCAAGGGGCCTTGCTTTTAAAACTGTTACGTTAGGCATGTTCTCAGCCATGTTCTGGGCCTCGGTCTCCTCAACCGTAAGTATTCATAATGAGAATCCCAACTGGGGTTGTGTGTAGAGCTACTGCACGCTTTGCTGGGCAGGTTTCCAGAGGAATCAAGGCCAAAGAGAAAAGACTAGGCTGGAGCTCAAGTCTCTAACGGACAGGTTGGTGAGAGGTAAAGGTGAAGTTCAGGGCACACCAGGGTGCCCTGGCAGAAGGTCAAGGGTGCCCTTTTACGTTCCCAACATGTGCTAAGTACCCTACGACTGAAGTCCTTGCAGCGATCTCCCCGGGATTAGCTCTTTTCTGCACATGGGAGACGGAGGCAGAGATGGGTGTCGGTGCTTGTTCGAGCTTGCACGCTGGCTTCTCGGCTACCGTGTTACCCCTGTTGAATGCCAGCAGCTGAGAGACAGCACCTGTCTTAGGACATTCTCATCTTTTCTGAGAGTCGGGCTCCATGGGGGAACCCAGAGTAGGGGAGAGCGTTGGAGGCCGGCCTCTTCCGGGGGTGGCTCTTCCTCGTCACCTGCTTCCGCTCAGAGCCCCCAGTCCCCACTAATCGTGACACTGGTTTTCCCTACAGGGAAGCTGAGCGATGATGTAGGGGAGTTTGTGCACAGCTGGCAGGAGCAAGCCCCCAACAGCCCTCCAGGGGCTGGGACTCCTTCCCTGCCTCGACCACCGTGCCTGCAGCAGAGCCCAGCGTCCATGCAGGTCTGTGTCCTGGAGAGAGCCCCTCCCCCTCCCCCTCCCTCCCTCCCCCCTGCCCCTCCCCCCTGCCCCCACAGTAGAAAGCTGTTGGTTGCAAGGGCCCAAGATGGCCTCTTCCCTTTTCTCCCCGCCTTGCTTTAGCTTAAGCTGGGATTCCTTGTGGGGATGGGGAATCTGAGAGCGGCTGTCCTCCCAGCCCAGCTCCTGCCTCTTCCCCACCCAGGGCGTGTATGAGCGGTGTGAGGCGCTATTGAGACCTCCCTTCGACGCCTGCCATGCCTATGTCAGCCCTCTGCCCTTCACAGCCAGCTGTACCAGTGACCTCTGCCAGTGAGTGGGCGGTACTGGGTTGTAGGGAACGCCTCCCAGTACTGCGATGAGGCTTCAGGATGTCGGCCACTGAGCCTAATAGTTCTTGGCTCAAACAAAGCAGCTTGCCAACGCTCTAAAATTCTCATTTGCCAAGATGGGACTCAGCTGCCTTGTTTAACTGAGGCCCAGAGATGGAGCTCAACTCCTTCAGGGTCACGCTGCAAATTGGCAGCAACGCTGGGACTTGAATCTAGGTTTCCTGCTTTGAGTCTAGGGCTCTGTGTAGCTGGACGCCTTCCTAGAGGACGGTGCCCTGAAGCTCTGAGAGCGTCTGTGGCAATGGTTCTGACCCCTTCGGGGGCACCGAACAACCCTTTCACAGGGGTTGCCTAAGACCGTTGCGAAACACATACACTCACATTGTGATTCATAACAGTAGCAAAATTACATATGAAGTAGCATGGAAAATAGTTTTACGGTTGGGGGGGGTCACAACACGAGGACCTGGATTAAAGGGTCACATCATTAGGGAGGTTGAGAACCACTGGCCTGTGGGCTGGTGGGCTGGTGACAAGCTGGACTTCCTCACAGTCACTCTTCCTCACATTCACAGATCAGGAGGCGATGTTACTTGGTGCCGAGCACTGATGGAATATGCCCGGGCGTGCGCACAGGCAGGGCGCCCTCTGCAGGGCTGGAGGACCCAACTGCCACAATGCAGTAGGTGCAGGCTGGAGGTGGGCAGGGAGGAGTTGAGATGAGTTCTGACCAGGGCTGAGGGTGGCAGCCACGGTCCTCCGCTCGGTGCCCCGTCCTGTTGGCTCAGAGCCACAGCTGTCAGAGCCTTAAGCTCTGAGGTTTTGTCCTTGTGACACATGGGGAACTAAGGCTGGGCGTGAAGGATGGGTCTGGGGTCACAAAGTGAGATGAGGGTGTTTCTCGGAGCACCCCAGATTTCACCAGTCTCTTAGGCACCAGATACTGGAGGGCCCGGGGTGAGCGTGGGCGCTGGCCGCACAGGCAGACCACAGCCTTCTCCCCTCCCAAGCTGTGCCTTGCAAAGAGGAGGCCTTCATCTACAACGAGTGCATTGCTTGCTGCCCGGCTTCCTGCCAATCCCGTGCTTCCTGTGTGGACAGCGAGATCGCCTGTGTGGATGGCTGCTACTGCCCCAATGGTTTGCTGTGGGGGTGGTAGGAGCAGAGGGGGCTTGGCTGTATCTTCCCGGCCTGGCGTGGATGAGTGGGAATCAGGGGCTCAGAGGATGTCTGTCTGCGGAATGAATGAAGGAATAACTAACCAATACATGAATGACTGGCTTGGGTGGGGACAGGGCAGAGCTTGGCTCCTTGACAGTTTGACCCATCCAGGAATGTGAGCTCATTTGGGCCGAGCTTTGCAGAGGAAGACAAGCCATTCATTCATTTATACGGACATTTTTGTTTAAGCATCCGTCCATCCACAGTTACTTTCCCCTGTGTCTGATGGCATGTTTGTGATGGATGGAAGGGCGAATGTGAGGCTGAGGCTGGAGATGCAGCCCGGTGGGCAGAGTGCTTGTCTAGCATGTGCAAAGCCCTGGGTTCCATCTCAGCATCACATAAGCTGGCTGTGGTGGCGCAAACCTATAATACTAGCGCTTAGGAGGGGAAGCAAGAGAGCCAGGCAGTCTAAGTTATCCTCAGCTGGGTAAGGAGATCAAGGCCACTCTGAGCCACATGGGAGCCTGTCTCAAGAAAGTAAGGCGTTGATTTTAAGGAACAGAGTCTGCTTCCAGGGTGTGCAGCTCCTCACCCCAGTTTTGGGGATAGTGTGGTGAAGGCTGGTTGCGGGGGGGGGTGTCAGGAAAGAAGGGATTCGTGGATTGGTGGGGTGTGGTCGTGGATTGGTGGGGTGTGGGGAGGCCAGGGTGGTCTCGGAGAGGAAGCAGCAAGGTAGGGAGAGACTGACCGCTTGGCAGGATTGAGAGGTGCCGAGAAATCAGGCTGTGTGCACTCGGGGTAACGCATGGAGCAAAATCTGCCCAGATGGGGGTTCGTGTCCCGCCTGAGCCAGGGTTGGGAGTGGGTTTGAAAGTGGGCTCAGAAGAGAGCGAGTTCTGCAAATGGAGCCCTTTATCTGAGGCCCTGGGAAGCCATCCAGTGGCTTGTGAACAGAGGAAGTGCTGAGTGGGCCTTCGCTATCACACCCTAGGGCTGATCTTGGAGGATGGGGGCTGCATGTCACCAGCTGAGTGTCCCTGTGAGTTCCATGGGACCCTGCACCCGCCTGGCTCCGTGGTGACAGAGGACTGCAATGTCTGGTCTGTGCTCACTGCCTGGGGGGCGGGGGAGGACGACAGAGTCTGGGGAAGCGGGTGCTACCTGGGATTGAGGAACCCTGAAAAAGCAAGGGACAGTCATTCAGCCTCTTTGGGACCCCAGGGGATGTCATTAGATCCCTGGGGGGGGAGTGCTCCCTACCCACTTCAGAAATGGGATGCTGTGGGCTGGGGACAGTGTATTGGCGTTGAGGGCAGGCAGGCAGGCGACTTTCATGGTCTCTCTGTTTTAGTACTTGCACTGCAGGAAAGTGGATGTGCAGCTCTTCTGTCTGCCCAGGTACATCTGACCCTGACCTTGGGCCCTGCCCTCTTGTACTGGGGCAGGGACACTCTGGGACCATGCCTAGTCGGGGGAATTTGGTTCACCCGGCTAAACCTGATTCCTTTTCTTTCCTATGTTGCTTTGCCTATCTTAAGGGATTACTCTGGTCCATGCCCACAGTGTCGTTAGTGGGTCCTTCACGCCTCTTGCCTGAACTTGGGGGACTGCGTTGAGCCTGGGTCCCATGTCTAGGGCCTGGGGTCTCCTCAGAGGGAGGACCCTAGCAAAGCTGTGTCTAGCCTGCTCCTGAGCAGGCTCTCAGAAAAAAGTTATCCCAGCCTGCTCAATTCCAGTCGGCAGAGGCTGTGTCCTGCCTCGGCTTGTGTCTGCAAGTCTGAGACAGTCAGTCCCCAGTGAGGAAGAGGAATCCGTTGCCCTTTTTCTTCCTCAGCCGAATGCTCAGTGACCGGCGACATCCACTTCACGACCTTTGATGGACGCCGGTACACGTTCCCTGCCACGTGTCAGTACATCCTAGCCAAGAGCCGCTCCTCGGGCGCCTTTACAGTAACATTGCAGAATGCTCCGTGTGGCCTGGTAAGGCTCTATTCAAAAAATCCTCCCACAGGTCTGGGAACTCGGGGGAGAACCCCAGCTGCCTGCTGCCTCTTTCTCTGGTTCCCCAGGCAGTTTGAGCCCAGGCCCTCTGCTGGCCCAGAGCCCATTCCCCTTCCTGAGCCTCGTTTTTAAAGACATCTCTAGAGTGGGTCTAACTCTATGTAGTCTTCTATGCGTTGTTGATTTTTATTCTTTCCATGCCTTGAATTCACTCATCAAACACTGAAAACCTGTTGGGATCAGAAGCTGTTCTGAGGGCTAAAAGGGCTCTGTCTTCTGGGTCTAATAGGTTAGTGGGTTAGGCAGGCAAACGAACCCAAGGCTGTGAGCAGCTGTCAGGGCGTGGGTGGGCAGGGTGGGGGTCTAGGATGACATTTTCTTTTATATGGCCATTGAGTAAAAGGGCAAAGGGGACAGACAGCAGAGGTGACCCCCGAGCTGTGCCACCTGTGAACATAACTGAGACAGTGGCCACAGCAGGTCAGCCCCTGAATGTGAGCAGACCCCAACAGTCTGGGGACTGTGGACGAGGTGGAGCCTGGCTTTCTTCTTTTACCCCAAATGACCTCCGTCCTTTCTGCTTTTGGCCGTTCTGGGTGCAGGACACTGCTTGTCTTCCAAGGTGGGTCACTTCTGTGGCGTCTTGAAGGTGGGGAGAAAGGGAGGGCAGAAAGGCACAGAGCAGTTCTCGCTTCTCCTCATCCACGCAGCCCAGGAGTCTCAGAGCACACGAGGATGTGGGGCCCCAGGGTGCCTTGCCCAGCCCTCTATCTATCATGCCCCTGGTAGGCAGCCGCCCAGCGGGCCTCATTTCTGGACAGCACTTTTTTATTCAATATTTATTTGTTTATCTTCTGTATACGAATGCTTAGTCTTCATCCGCACCAGAAGAGGGAATCAGATCCCATTACTGATGGCTGTGAGCCACCACATGGTTGCTGAGAACTGAACTCAAGACCTCTGGGAGAGCAGCCAGTGCTCTTAACCCCTGAGCCATCTCTCCAGCACCCTGGACAGCGCTTCCTGATCGCAAGGGGTTTCTGCTGCCTGAATCCTCATGATTCTGTTAGCACAGGGGACCTATGGGAGGGAGCCCTGCTCTGGACCAGCTCCATGCCGAGCACAGTGAAGCTACATAGAGGAACCACACCCAGACCACTTTCCGGTGCCCACAGCTTATAGCGCCCGCCACTTTGGTGGCGAATGGCGTAGCAGAAGAAATAGTCCTGATAGGAAAGAAGGGAAAGCCATATGGCAGAGGTGGCATTTAACCTAAGGTGTCCCTACAACGATGAATACAGAGACAAGGGGGAGGACACTGAGTGCTGATCGTATCAGGACAGCAATGACGCTGGAATGGCCAGGATGGAGTGGGCTGGGCACAGTAATGGAGGTGATGGTGGTGCCCGTGACACATTTACCTAGTGTTCTGACGCTGACCTATATCCTTCTTACAGTAGCTAATGCAAGAGCATTGCTACTCTCCCTGTTTAAATCCGACGGGCTGTCTTAGAGGCTTAGGGACTTCATGACTACACGAATCTTTACCCCCTCCTCCCAAGTTGGGATATTGTCACAGAGTTGTGCCCACCTTACATGCAGTGGGTTGTTTACAGTCTTCAAGGGGGTCTTAAAAGTTAACAGTGCATTTTAGAATGTTAGTTCTTGCAAAGATACGACTCACCCCACACAACGTGTCCCTTGTTAACATCTTACCTAATGCATATTTTGCATATTTGATATTTATTCCTTTTTTTTTTTTTCTGTGATGCAACACCACGGCCAATAGCAGCCTACGGAAGAACCATTTGGGCGTATGGCTCCAGGGAGAGTCCGTAGTGGTGGGCAAGCATGGTAGCAGGCAGCTGGAAAGAAAGTCTGAGCTATCACACCTCAGCAGTGTACAAGAAACACACTGGGGAGGGATGGCGGTGCGGGGTTGGGGGGAAACGGCTGAAGCTATACCGTTCAAGCCCGCCCCTAGGGAGGAGTACTGCATCCGGAAAGGCTGCTGTGCCCAAAGTTCCCCCAAGCACCACAGCTGGGGTCCACGTGTTCAAACCCATGAGCCATTTCTCAGGCAAACCAACATGGCATGGCGCATCATAAGCAACCAAGTGACACCGATGTGTCTCCATTAGCTGAGGCACGGCTTGCTCAGGGCTCATTGCTCTTCACCCAGTGTCGCTCTTCTGGCCCAGCACCTCCCGTCTCTCAGACTCTTCCTGACTGCTTTCTCAGAATTCCCTTGTTCGAGATGACCCTGGAAGCTTGTGAAGCCCTGCTCAGGAGTCTCGTAGCAGGTTCCTCTGGGTTTCTCTGACGGCTTTGTCTCTTGGCGAGGTTTTATGTTTGAGGTGGCAATCTATAGCTTCTTTATCTTGTCCCTCAGACTGTTTGGCGGAGTTTTCATTGGACTCCCTGTACCTTGTATGTACTCATGTTACATGTATGCATGCATCGTCACCTGCACACTTCTTCATTTCTGGCCCCATAGGTAACAACACATCAGCATGGGTTGGTTATCTGTAACTAATGTACCATGCTAATGTAAATTAACAAAGGAAACAGGTGAGCAAAGGGGGCAGGCTAGAATGACCCATGCTCCGATGGATTAGAGCTAGAACATGTATCTGCAGATACATGCAAGGGTTGTCAACTCAGAGAGCCAAGAAGAAATAACGCTCTTAATGGCGGTTTCTATCTCTAGTGCTCTGGGTTTCTGAGACCTTCCTGAAGGGACAGGGAGAGTCTGGCGGTATTCTTGGAGGAATGGGACAGGAAATAAATGCACAGAGTCCCCATGTATCCCTCTCAGTTTCATGCAACCATAACTCAAATGTCACTTTTTGTGCCTTGGTATTCTGATCTGCAAAATGGCACTGCGTGTTACAGCAATTCTTAGATAAGGGCACAAGCAGAGTGCTGGGAGGGCTGAGTGCAGGGACGCAGGCGACTTCTGGACAGCGGAACTGATGATGGCTGTTACAAACAGAGAAACAGCAGAATGAAGGTGTGGTGGCCAGGGTTATTCTTCACTATTGGCATATGCCCTGGGATAGCCTTTCCTGCCTGTGGCCCCTTTCTGTTCCTTTGTGTGCTTTGCTAATGCCCTAACCCTGCTTGCAGCAGCCAGGGCGCCCATTACAGCCAATCGAATTCGTACTTAGTTATTTAATGTCTGTGTCCCACACAGATTTGTAATTCCCTTGAGCAGGAAGATGTCCCCTGCCTTGCTCAGCTCTTTGTCTGTGTAGTGCAGCCTGCACATGGAGGTTGCTCAGGAAGAGCAGTATGCACAGGCATGCTATCGCCCACCCATTCAAAGATGGAGCACAGGGCTTGAGGCTCATTTACTGTTCTCCGCCCCTGCTTTCTGTGGTGGTTTAATGGAACCTCTGGCTTTATTTTTACATGCTAGGCAAGGGCTGTACCAGCGAGCCATACAACATTGGCCCTTTAAATGTTTTTCATTTTGAGACAGGGTCTTGTACAGTGACTTAGGCTGGCCTTGGACTCACTCTGTCTCTGGCAGGGCTTGAACTTGTTACCCTCCTGTATTAGCTTCCTGAGCAGACTTGGTTTTCTACATGCCTTTCAGTGGGGTACAGGATACGACACACAAGCAGAACTCCACATAACATCTGGTAAAAGGTCGAAATTAAAGCTCTGGGTTTCAGTCGTGTGAGGGAACCATGGCTTCCAAGGCTAGACTGAGCTGTCTGGGGACTATTCTGTGTGGACAACTGAGAGTCAGCCATCATATTCACCGTGCTCATCACCCAGTTCTGCAGCCAATCAATCAGCATGCTCATTATCCAGTTCAGCAATCAGCATGCTCATCACCCAGTTCTGCAGCCAATTAGCATGCTCTTTATCCAGTTCTGCAGGCAATCAGCATGCTCATCACCCAGTTCTGCAGCCAATCAGCGTGCTCATCACCCAGTTCAGCAATCAGCATGCTCATTATCCAGTTCTGCAGCCAATCAATCAGCATGCTCATTATCCAGTTCAGCAATCAGCATGCTCATCACCCAGTTCTGCAGCCAATCAATCAGCATGCTCATTATCCAGTTCAGCAATCAGCATGCTAATCACCCAGTTCTGCAGCCAATCAGCATGCTCATTATCCAGTTCTGCAGCCAATCAGCATGCTCATCATCCAGTTCAGCAATCACCATGCTCATCACCCAGTTCTGCAGCCAATCAATCAGCATGCTCATTATCCAGTTCAGCAATCACCATGCTCATTATCCAGTTCTGCAGCCAATCAGCATGCTCATTATCCAGTTCTGCAGCCAATCAGCATGCTCATCATCCAGTTCAGCAATCACCATGCTCATTATCCAGTTCTGCAGCCAATCAGCATGCTCATTATCCAGTTCTGCAGGCAATCAACATGCTCATCACCCATTTCTGCAGCCAGCCTTGTCCTTTCTGGGTTGGTGATCTCCCAGATGAGAGCATTTTGTTGAGCAATCCTTGATGCCCTTTGGGTCTCTGTTTCTCAGTCTCAGGGACCTGCTCTTCAGGTTGGGCTGGGTCTCTGTCAAGGAGGGTTCTGTTTGGGACATCAGGACAGACAGAATCAACTGCTATTGTTCATTGACCCTTCTCTTTCTCTAGAACCAGGATGGAGCCTGTGTCCAGTCAGTGTCAGTAATTCTACACCAGGACTCCCGGAGACAGGTGACCCTGACGAAGGCGGGAGATGTCCTTCTGTTTGACCAGTACAAGATCACCCCGCCCTATTCAGATGGTATGGTTCAAGATGCTCAAGAGGGCTAGCTGGGAGCTGAAAGTTCCAGCCCTTTCCCCAGCTCCTCCATCCAAGGGAACTGCTATGTGGGCCACCCTTCACAGGGATCAGGCTAGGGGACACTGGATTCAGGAAAGGTCCCCACTCTAAGAAGACAGTGTTCACCTAGCAGTGTGCTGTTCCTTCCAACATTAGCCTGTGTGTGGGGCTGATTCCCATCTCTAGACTCTGATTATTCTCCCCCTGACTCTTTCATCCAACAGTGAGTTGTGGGCTGCCCATAGGAAACATGTTTAACAAGAAAGCTGCGAAGAAGTAAGAGCCAGCAGCAGGAAGGATTGGGAGGGGAGAGATGAGCAGCTCTTGGGCAGGAGGATCAGGGCTGCACTGAGGGTAAAGGATCACAGGAATGCAGCCATGACAGCTGTGAAGCTCAGACGAATGCAGTGGGAATCGGAGGCAGAGAGATCAGGAATTCAAAGTCATCCTGTGTATGTGCTAAGTCCAAAGTAGTCTAGGTTATGTGAGACCCTGGGTCAAAAAACAAAACTTGTGTTGCCATTGATCCTAATCCATCATGATTGTATCGTGGGCTTCCAGAAGCTGCAGTCCCCAGGGAGAGCAGGCTGTTGTTATTGGGACCCACTCAGTGACATTTCTGAGTAGGTTGTCCCAGAGTTTGGCAAACCAATCCCAAGGCAGGGGTTTTCTGCGGGATGAGGCCAGGACCTCAACCAGACAGGAGACGGAGCGGGCGGGACTGTACTAGAGACTACGTACCGACATCCCGTTTCCCAATCTGTGGTCAGATGCCTTCGAGATTCGGCGGCTGTCCTCCGTGTTCCTGAGGGTGAGGACCAACGTGGGCGTGCGGGTCCTCTATGACCGGGAAGGCTTGCGGCTATACCTGCAAGTGGACCAGCGATGGGTGGAGGACACTGTGGGTCTCTGTGGCACCTTCAATGGCAACACACAGGACGACTTCCTGTATGTGTCCCTGCCCCGGAACAGGAAGGAGAGGGAGGCAGGGGGGGGGGCTTAGGGTCAGGCATCCAGAGATACTGCCCACCATACTTTTTTATCCCTCCACATTTAAATCGAAGTATAGCTCTTTAAAATGGAGGTCACGATCTTCTCTGTGTAGAAAGACCACTTGGGGAGTTTGCTTACATGCTGACTCCTGGGTCCTACTCTTTAAGAACCTCAAATAAGATGGCATGAAAGCCTCATTCCCACAAGCACTCCCGCCACCATAGCTAAAAGTCTACAGTCTTAAGCCCATCCCGTTCTGATCCTTCTAGGCCTTGTTAAATGTGGTTGTCTATGTGCATGTCTTTAATCGGATGTGTTTGGCTGTGGCTATGTAGAATGCTTTGACAGTTCATGCGTCTGGCATGCGCTTGTGGAGAGTGTGTGTGTACAGGCGGGCATGTTTCTGTGTGTTGGTGTGAGCGAGTGGTCTATACAGGACCATGTGTGCTCACTTGAGAGGGACTCAGAGCTCATGCTCCTGCCTACCCTGTGACCATGTGTTTAGGTGTTAGCAAGTATCTGCTGGGGTGGGTAGATAGTCAGTGTAACCCTGTGTCCCAGCGGGCTCGTGTGCAACTAAAGCTTTGCCATGGCCACAGGTCTCCAGTGGGTGTGCCCGAGAGCACCCCACAACTGTTTGGCAATTCTTGGAAAACCCTGTCCGCCTGCTCCCCGCTGGTCCCCGGCTCCCTGCTGGACCCCTGTGATGTGCATCCGCAAGCCGGTGAGGAGGCTTGGGGCGTGGAGCCGAAGTGGCATGTTTAGAGATGGCAACTTGAAGAGGGTGCTGGTCAAATTCAGAGGATCCACAGAGGAGAAGTCACAGGGAGGGGACGGGGCGGAGGGGAAGGGCAGGCAGATGGGAAGCTATCTGTTCTACCTTTGTCATCTATATTCACCTCAGTGCTGGGTCGCGTCTCTGAACAAAGGCTAAGGCCTCAGAGGTGCTCCGCCTCCATGCTCTGCCTCCTGCTTGTCTCCTCCCCACCGCCCTGCACTCTGCCCCAGCCGGCTTCCACGGTTTCCATGCGGTTTCCACGGTTCTCTGACTTGCCGGGACTGCCCTCCTCTCAGCCCCCCCCCCCCCACTCTCACCTCCGCTTGAGTTAGGGTAGCAGTTGTCCTGCCCGCCCTACCTCATGCTGCCCAGCCTTCCCCTAGTTCTCTCATCCCTTAGGTTCGTGCTTTCTGACTGACTAGCAAATCGTTTGCTGTCTCTTCTAACCAGTTCGGCTCCCCGAGGGTCTGGGATTTGGTCAGCATTGTTCACTTCTGTGTTTCCTTTAACAGAGAGATGCTGCCTGGCGTGGGGTAGAATGCGGTATCTGCTCATATTCCTGCTGGGTGCATGCACATATATGTACTAGTGTAGTCATAGAAGCACACCCTACATACGTGCACACACACACTAATGGACATATGTATGCGCACACACACCTGCAGACTCGAGGGGAGGGAGGCCGATTCTTAGGGCAGCAGGCAGCCAGGCCCCTGCTAATTGACCGTATCTTCACATTCCAGCCTCCTATGCACTACAGTCATGTAGCGTGCTCATGGGGGAGCTCTTTGCGCCCTGTTCTGCATATCTGAGCCCAATGCCCTACTTGGAGCAATGCCACGGGGATGCCTGCCGCTGCGGGCAGCCCTGTCTGTGTGCGACGCTGGCCCACTATGCCCGCCTGTGCCGGCGCCATGGGCTCCTGGTTGACTTCCGCGCCCATCTGCCAGCCTGTGGTGAGTGTCCCTCTCCTGTGCATCCATGGGCGTCTAGGTTGGAGGCACAGGTGTCTCTTACCCCCGGGTCCTGTCTCCTCCAGCCTGACTTCCGTTCACAGCCCCTTCTCTTCCTACCAACCCGGCCCTTAGGCTTTGACACTTGGAACATGTCCCTCAGGATTGCCCCTCCACGCCTCAGTCCATCTCCGAGCCCTGCCAGTCGGGCCAAGTCCGAGTGAACCCACTCCCCGCCACCACTTCTGCCAACCCTGGGCAGAGCCACCTTGTCACTGTAGAAGAATGGGTTCTCTAGAGAGTGCTGTCTCTGAGGCTGGTTTGAGGTCACATCAGTGTGTGGCCTCCACTGCTCTCTGGATCTCAGTCCTTGTTGTCCTGAGCCCCACAGAGCCCGGCTCCCTGTGAGCTTTTACAAAGACGTAGAGAAAACGGTGCTGGGAACCAGGGCCTCTGAGTTCCACTCCAGCCCGGCAGGTGACGTGTAGTGTGGCCCTGTGCAAAGCTCCGTCATGCTCTGCATTAGTTTCTCCAGAGGTGCTTGGACCGAGCCAGTAGTTCCCAGCTTCAGCGAGCGGTACGATACTTAGAGGCACAAGGAACTTTTTAAAATGCTCACACCTTGTGCGTGTCCTGTGTCAGTGAACACATCACTCTGGTTGTGGGTTCCAGATGTCTGTGGTGTTGAGGAGCTCATGTTAAGTCGCTTTGATGAGCAGCCTGGGCTGGAAAACAGCTGATCCTGGCAGTTTTAGTGGGTTTGTCGCCCTTGGTGCTGTGTGAGGCTCCTGGGGAGTGGGTGGTGGCCCCATAGGAGATGGCAGGCCGGAGGCTTGGGACAAAAATCTAAAGAAGCTGTGGGAGAGAGTACATGATCTTCACAGAGAAGGGTGCAAGCCTGTGCATGTTCACATACTAATGAGGAACGTACACACACACGTGTGTGTGTATGTGCCTGTGTGTGTGCAAGTGTGTGCACACGTGTGTGCATGTGTGTTTGAGTGTATGCTTGTGTGCATGTGTGTGTGTGCCTGTGCATGTTCACACACCAGTTAGGAGCATGCACACGTGTGTGTGCATGTGTGTGTGTTTGCATGTGTGCATGTGTGTATGTGCATGTGTATGTGTGTGTGTGTGTGTATACGTGTGTGTAACGGACTGGATGCTGGGCCACCAATCACTAAGAGCAGTGCCTGGTGTTCCAGGCTGAATGTAATAGATGCTGTTTGACATTCAGCACAATGAGAGGCATCTTTGACCTTGAGCTGCCATGTGACCAGGAAGGGGCAAATGTCTTACCCTCTACGATTCTCAGTTTTTCTCATCAAGATGCTAAATCCACCCCACGTGTAATGGGAAGAAGAGAGACCAAGCTCAGCCTTTGTCCCCACAGCACTGACCTGTGAGGCCACCAAAGAGTACAGCCCGTGTGTGGCCTTGTGTGCACAAACATGCCAGGACCTGGCCAGCCCTGATGTCTGTGGGGCTGATGGTGGTGGCAACTTCAGCAGGGTTGAGTGTGTGGAGGGTTGCACCTGCCCACCAGACACGTACCTGGACACCCGAGCTGACCTCTGTGTCCCCAGGTGAGTGGCCAGCCTGGTGTCTGGGTGTGCGGGGAGTGAGGCTGGGGTCTGCTCCGGGCAGCTGGGCTGAGATTCTCCCTGCTTCCCCTGCCCCTCTCCTGGCCTTGCTGGAAGGGTGAGTCGCTCCCTCTTCTGAACCTATTCTCGGGCCGCCCTCTCTTCCTGTAAAACAAATTAACCACCACACCTTGCCGTCCTCGTCCACAAGCATCTGTGTGCATCTTAGCATGTCCTGGATATGCTAATAGTGAGAATACGATAGTGAACGGGGTAGAGTCCAGCTCCCCAAGTCCGCAATCCGAGTTGGCAAGACAGACCCCCTAAAACAGGCACGTAGGGAGCGCTGGTGGTAAGGAAGGCAAGAAAGCCACACAGGGTGAGGCTGGGGTCCTGGGCTGTCACACACAGGAGAGTCACACACAGCCTGAGTCTGCAGCCAGGTGGAAGTCACCTGTCAGGCAGATGCTGGGCGAGCAGGGCTCTCATGTCACCCCAGAGAGTTCTGAGCAGGTCACCTCTCTGATCCTGGCTCTGGGTTAGGCTGACCTCGGTGCGGTGCCGGGTGAACTTTCCGGTCCTCTGGAGGTGTGTCACAGGAACAGCTGTCACCCCTCTCCACAGGCCGGGGGGCCCCTGCCCTGGCTGTCTTCATCCCTCCTCCCAAGCCTCGCTATTCCTTCCCGCTTTCTATAGGAACCAATGTTCATGCCACTTCCAAGGAGTGGACTATCCGCCTGGGGACAGCGACATCCCTTCCCTGGGCCGCTGGTGAGCTTCCTGGGCACCCCCAGGGCATTAGAAGCAGCACCAGCCCTGCACTCTGTGTGGGGTGATGGTGGGGAGCAGGGGTAGTAAGTCGGGAGGTCTGTCTGAGGTCCACAGGGCCCAAGGGTGACAGCATGGGCCGGGTGGGCCCTGGATGGCCGGCCAGGCTGATAAAATTCCCCCAACTCTTGGCAGCCACTGCAGAGATGGAGCCATGAGCTGTGACAGCCGAGCCCCAGGTAAGCAGGCGGACGGGGTGGAGGGGACTCCAGCTGGTGGGAGGAGGCTGAGGGGAGAGTGAAGAATTGGGTGCTGGCAGGGTGGGACTGCTCTAGCTTGCCCTGCCTCGGGAGTTGGTGTTCCTGTACCCCTGGCAAAGGTCCCAGCTTAGAGAGTGGAACCCTGAGACCCCACTTGGGCCTGGATCTGCTGGAGAGCATGTCGGGGTCTGGGCTGCTACTTGTCTTTGGTGGTCTGAGCTGCCAAGTATCTTCTGAGACCAGTTCGGCCCACCCAGCCCAGCGGTGGACACGGGGTCCCAGCGAGGAAGGGACTGGCTTTCAGCTCCGTCACAGCACAGAGATGGGAGAGGGGAGGGCAACTGTGGGATGTCTGGAGGTGGGCAGAGCATGAGGGTTGGAGCATTCCCAGCAGAGGGGCCCACTGGGAACAGGACAGCACGGAAACAGTAAGTAAGTGTGTGGCCAGGGGGTTGGATCAGCTGGGTTCACATCCTGACGTGCACTCGCCAGCTGTGCAGCCCTGGGTGACATGCCTCGCCTCTCTGAACCTTGATCTCCTCCTTCACGGATGATCCTGAACGCCCTCCTACCATCATTTCCTGCATCTTTCCGGGAGCTTCTTTACTTTGCTCTCCCGTGGCTTGGGGTTTCTTCCTCTTTGGGATCTGGCTCTTTCTCTCTCTGCCTTATTCTACCCTGGCTACCGAACTTTCTGCCTTTTGTTGGGTTCCCTAAAACAATCACTTGCACAAAGCGTGACCGTGCATGGCAGACTTTGCTGAAGAAGGGGTTTTTTTGGGGGTCTCTGTCAGAGAAACATGCAGTTGGGAATTGACTCTCCCTGATGTAAATTCTCCGGCCAGCCTTCTAGACTGCTTGGCTGTCCATCTTTGGGTGCCTCACCTGGTCCTTCCTGACAGTTCCGCTGTCTTTAGACGGCAGAGTAGCTTAGACAACGTCACGAGAGAAGACAGCTGGGACACCAGCACAGACCCCCCCCCCCCGCCAATAGGAAGTAAGATTGTAGAGCATGCACGGTGCAGCCTCCAGGCCAGAGGGTCGGTTTGATAATGGGTGCTGCTGAGGGTGGCTGTCCTGTACAGAGGCAGCACCTCTCTGCCTTGTCCCTGCCATGTGGGAAGCCGTTCGTCTCTTCCAGTCCAGGCCGAGGGTCTGCAGCACCTACCCCATTTTCTTCTAGCTGTTGCCTGTCCAGCAGGCCAGATCTTCGTCAACTGCACTGATCTGCACCTGGACCCTGAGCTCAGCAGGGAGAGGACGTGTGAGCATCAGCTGTTGAACCTGAGCATGCCAGCACGTGGTCCCTGCCTGTCAGGCTGTGCCTGTCCCCAAGGGTATGGCTGTGATGGCTGTGGGGATGCAGGGATGGAGGAAGCTGTGTGGCTCTGATGGCTGTAGGGATGCAGGGATGGAGGAGGCTGTGATGGCTGTGGGGATGCAGGGATGGAGGAGGCTGTGATGGCTGTGATGGCTGTGGGGATGCAGGGATGGAGGAGGCTGTGATGGCTGTGGGGATGCAGGGATGGAGGAGGCTGTGATGGCTGTGATGGCTGTGGGATGCAGGGATGGAGGAGGCTGTGTGGCTGTGATGGCTGTGGGATGCAGGGATGGAGGAGGCTGTGTGGCTGTGATGGCTGTGGGATGCAGGGATGGAGGAGGCTGTGATGGCTGTGATGGCTGTGATGGCTGTGGGATGCAGGGATGGAGGAGGCTGTGATGGCTGTGATGGCTGTGGGGATGCAGGGATGGAGGAGGCTGTGATGGCTGTGGGGATGCAGGGATGGAGGAGGCTGTGATGGCTGTGGGGATGCAGGGATGGAGGTGGCTGTGATGGCTGTGATGGCTGTGGGGATGCAGGGATGGAGGAGGCTGTGATGGCTGTGGGGATGCAGGGATGGAGGAGGCAGTGTGGCTGTGATGGCTGTGATGGCTGTGGGATGCAGGGATGGAGGAGGCTGTGATGGCTGTGGGATACAGGGATGGAGGAGGCTGTGTGGCTGTGATGGCTGTGGGATGCAGGGATGGAGGAGGCTGTGTGGCTGTGATGGCTGTGGGATGCAGGGATGGAGGAGGCTGTGATGGCTGTGATGGCTGTGATGGCTGTGGGATGCAGGGATGGAGGAGGCTGTGATGGCTGTGATGGCTGTGGGGATGCAGGGATGGAGGAGGCTGTGATGGCTGTGGGGATGCAGGGATGGAGGAGGCTGTGATGGCTGTGATGGCTGTGGGGTGCAGGGATGGAGGAGGCTGTGATGGCTGTGATGGCTGTGGGAGCTTGGGAAGGAACAGGAGCTTAGCCTGGGATGGGACCTTTCAGGTTCTACTTCTGGTAGCCATGTGACCTTGGATGAGGAAAGCACCTGTTCCTCAGAATTCAGTGTTTCATCTGGAACACTTGCCACCATAGCAGGTGGATTAAACAAGGCATCAGATTGGAAGCACCAAGACAGATGTCTGATGTGCCCCAGATGCCCCAGGGACCCACTGATCAAAGGCCAGGCACAGGAAAACCCATGTCAGCTCTCAGCCTCTGTCCCTGATCATAGTCCCTGGGTGAGAGAGGAGCCCCTGGAACAACCCCAAAGGAAAGCCACATCCAACAGGAGCAGCCTCCTGCCTAGGCCCCCAGATGCTGTGTGGGGGCAGTGTGGGAGCTACAGGAGCTAGAGTTGTGGGTGTGCTCCATACCCATGGACCAGTGCTGAGCTCTGCCAGTGTTGTTCTCAGGTCTGGGTCAAAGGGGGCCCTGGGGGCCACTTCATCCCATGACTTCAGTCTGTGTAGGGATTAGTGGTCACGTGGGAGCCCTGGCTCTGGCCTGACAATCAAAGGGAATGAAATGAGGGTCCGAGCTTCTGGGTGGGTGGGGGAGCTTTACAGCGTGTCAGACACTGGTGTTACCCCTGCCAGTCTCAGAGCAGGGAGGTGCTTACTCTTACTCCTCAGAAGGAAACACGGCCTGGGCCACAGGGGGAATAGTCTGCGGAAGGAGCCAGACTCACCAAGTCTCTATGGCAAGCTCTGCTCTTTGCGCAGAGCGGCGGGGTCCACAGTGCGGGGCACATGCCAGGTCCTTTCCCAATCTGCACGTTCCCACAGAGGATCTGTAAGGAGTAAGGTTTTTCCTGCCGCCGCCACCGGTCTTGTCACCGAGACTCTGTATTGGATATAACGCTGTTGGCCCGTTACTTGTTTCTTATCGGCTAAATCTGTCTTAAGTATTAACCCATTTCTGTTGATCTATGCATTTTCACATGGTTTTACCTTACCGGGGAGTGGGGCCAGCGTCTCATCTTCCCAGTCTCTCCATCTTGACTCCTCCTTCCTCCTTCCTATTTCCTCCTTGTCTCCTAGTCCCTCCTATCTTCCTCTCCTATTGGCCAACAGTGCTTCATTCATTAACCAGTATGAGAAACATATACAGAATGACATCTCCCATCATCTCCTCTTTTCTGTCTAAATAAAAAGAAGGGTTTTAACCTTACCATGGGAAAATATATAACACAACAGTTATCAAATAAGAATCACAGTTAACAATATTCAGTCCATTAACATTTAGCAAGATTTAAGAAAATATTCCATCATCTATCCTATCTTTATGTGTCTAAAGTCTATGTGTAACTTATCTTTAATCCTAACTAAGGAAAACTATAACCATAACTATTTGTCTTCAATTCTATCAAAGACCACAGAAGGATAATATATAAACTCTAGAAATGACAGAGATATCTTGCCTTGTCAGTCTCCTGAAGTTCTTCTGTAATTTTCCATCTTCAGCCCATAGGCCATAGTATGTCTGGCAGACTCTTCAGCAAAGCAGGAAACTTTAAACTGTCTTCTTGTATCGGCAGTTTGTCAGTCACTTTCCTCTGTGTCCTGCAGACTGTCTGGCAGACTCTTCCATGAAGCAGGAACTCTGTAGCAATGTCCATCTTGAATCAGCAGTCACTTTTCTGTGGGTCCTGCATGTCCAGTTTATACAGAATAAAGTCAAACAGTCCAGACAAGAGCAGTATCTTGTCCAAATGGCTAGTCTTGCCATATTGAAAGTAAACTTCATAATGCGTTTCTTCGATGTCCATCTTTCTTTCTGATGTAGGTGGTGTTGCCAGAAGCATTTATGTCTCACTATCAAGAAAAACCCTAAACCATTTTAAATGCCATATTCTGTAGGTCTTTGAAAGGTTTGAAGAATGCCTATTTATCTCAAATACATCTCTACATATCTAGAAAACCTAACTCACCTAACTATAAGTTTTGACTACTATAGGTAACTATCTAAAAGCTGTACTAAATTATATATTATATTTCTAAATGAGCTATATAAACACAATACCTAAACAAGAGGAGACATATACATATCACAAAATTGACCTTAAATTGTATCAATAAATGAAAATCCATTCCAAAACAAAGTAATCTTATCTATACCATAATCCCCTTTTTACCTTTAAAAAGAGATTGGTTGTGGTCATTAACCGTTTATAACCAACCCCATTTAAATGAAAACAAACATTTATAAACAGTATTTGGGAATTTGGGCGTTGTTCTTTCCAAACTGCTTCCTGCTGATAGGGGGCGCTGTCATGGGGATCCTAAGAAAATGAAGAAATCCTGGCTGTAATCTGCAAGGCTGCCTTGTTCAGCTGTTTTGAATGTTGGATCACCAGGAACTCTGTTTCAGATCAAACCACATTTTTGAATCCACAGCTGTTCATTTTCTGTGGAAACAAAAATAGAAATCCTTTTCCCCAGTAACTTGTCTTTAGACTTAAAATTTGAAGTCAAAGCATTTTTTAAAAATGTATTTATTTATTTTATATAACCAAGTCATTTAAATGAAAACAAACATTTATAGACAATATTTGGGAATTTGGGCATCGTTCTTTCCAAACTACTTCCTGCTGGTAAGGGGCGCTGTCATGAGGGATTCTAAGAAGATGCAGAAATCCTGGCTGTAGTCTGTAAGGCTGCTTTGTCCAGCTGTTTTGAATGTAGGATCACCTGGTACTCTGTTTCAGGCGGTCTGGCTTGATCAAACCACGTTAGTCTGGAAGGAATCCACAGCTTTTCATTTTCTGTGGAAACAAAAATAGAAATCCTTTTCCCCAGTAACTTGTCCTTAGACTTAAATTTTGAAGTCAAAGCATTTTTAAAATATATAAATTGAATTGATCCAGCAGCATTTGTTTTATTAGTTGTTGTTATTTCCTCGGAAGTCAAACAATTTAAAGACAACAGAATAGCATATAGCATCCATAACTTTTCTGTGCTTTTCATCTTTACGTGGCTTTTTTTTATTACTCTGTTTCTTTTACTTCTATTTTTTCATTTTTTGAGACAGGGTTTCTCTGTGTAACTTTTATCCATCCTGGAATTCACTCTGCATACCAGGTTTACTTTGAAATCACAAGAGATCTGCTTGCCTCTGTCTCTCAAGTGCTGGGATTAAAGGCGTGTGCCACCACACCCAGCTCCTCTTTGTCTTTTTAAAACCATTTTATTCTTTTTTCCCATGTCTACGTATATTTTAAAACACACTGTAAACCTTTAGCGGTTTTTCTTAATGTGAATCTGTCTTTACTGTAAATATTTATCTTTTTCTGACCACGAGTCTTTTATCTGGTAAACAACAACATTGCTAAAATGAAAGTCATAGCTGTGTCAGCCACGGTCTATCCAAGATGGCGGTGGGTAATTTTACCGCCAGAACTGAGAGCTGTACTCACTGCCTTGGTCTACGCTGCCATCCAGCAGCATGTTGCAGGCTTGGAGATGTGGTCATTGCTACTGCCAGGTCTTTACACACCAATAAGTTGTTAGTAGTGCTTTTTTAAAGCTGTGCGGTTTTTTGCCGCTTATGCTGAGTCAGGAAACCTCCCTTAAAGGAGCCGCACAATTATCTGCTTGTCTCTCGCAAAGCAGAGTCCAACTGAGAAAAATCCTGCTGCCAAGAAACTTTGCTTGTCTCTGTTCTTTTGTTTTAAAAACCTTTTTTAAGCTTTTGTTAAATTTTAAGTGGAAGTTCTTATTAGCCACGCGGGCGCCATATGTAAGGAGTACAGGTTTTTCCTCCCGCGGCTGGTCTTGTCCCGCCTCCGCGCCAGCCACAATTAACACACAGAGACTCTGTGTTTGATATAATGCTGTTGGCCAGGTACTAGTTTCTTATCGGCTAGCTCTGTCTTAAGTATTAACCCATTTCTGCTAATCTGTGTATTTCCACGTGGTCTTCTCTTACCCTTGGAGAGCTGGCTGGTGTCTAGCTCTCTCCAGACTCTCCATCTTGACTCCTCCTTACTCCTTCCTCTTTCCTCCTTGTCCCCTAGTCCCTCCTACCTTCCTTTCCTATTGACCAGCAGTGCTTTATTCATTAAATCAGTATGAGAAACATATTTACAAAATGACATCTCCCATCAAGGATCCTTGCCTCACCTACAGCCACCCAGGCCTCAGACCTCAATGTGTATCACTGAAGGCCTCTCGGGATACCGTCTGTTTGCACAAGCCTGTCTCTCAGTCTAAGGTCGGAGATGGCTAGGTCTCTGCAGTCAGGCGCCAAGGGTCTTCACTGTCCAGAATGTGAGCACAGAGAGATAATGGGAAAGGGGCCTGGACTGGCTCCTGGCTCTGGGCTTGGGTCTGCTCAGGATTATTTGCGGGCATGTAGGACACTGGGGAATCTAGCTGCATTCCCGGGGGGCTCTCTGAAGGTGATTATGATGGGGAGCAATTCTACCATCCTGAAAAGATCTCTTGATGGGAAAGGCTGTCAAAGATGCTCCAGCTCCACCATCACCAGCTCCTCTCCTCCACAGTTACTTCTATGCTCCCTAGCCTCCATGTGTCTCCAAAGCCATCTAAGACTCTACGGCACTGGCCATTGCCCCAAAGGACCCTGTATCTGTCCTAGTTGGCTTCCTGTTGCTGGGATAAACCGAAGGAATCTCGGAGAAGGAGGAGTTTGGACTGTTTTTCCAGGCCACACTCCGTCACTGAGAGGGGACTGGATCAGAGGTCCTGGAGGGTTGCTGCTCCCCAGCTCTGTCTCTGGCTCATGGAGAGCTAACGTTCTTTATGTCAGCCTACCTGCCTAGGGATGGTGCTACCCACGGTGGGTGGACTGGGCCTGTCTACATCACAGCAGATCGAGGAGTGCGTTTCTGACCTTTCGCTTGCTGTGTCCCCCCAGCCTGCTCAGACACGGGGATGCGTGCTTCCCACCAGAGGAGTGTCCGTGCATCTGGAAGGGGAAGGAGTATTTCCCTGGGGACCAGGTAGTATCTTCCTGCCACACCTGGTAAGTCCCCCGAGCTGGCTTCATTTCTTTTGCTAGAAAGGGTGTGGTTTTTCCCTTTATCATGTTCACATTCACAGTGACTGTTGTACACACAAGTATATGCATGTGGAATAACACTTAGAATATGCTTGTAATCATAAAAAATGTGTTTACATATTTAAATGAACATATATGTATGGGTATGAATAAAGGCGTGTGAGTGAACATACATGGACATACATTATGAAGTAAAGTGTCATACAGCTAAATAAATCCATTAATATGGCACTTACAAATTTACATATGGTGTGCTCATATGTATTTACATGCATATGTATCTATTTAGTACATATATGTACTAAAGTGACTGTGCATTAAATATATATGTGTGTGTGTATATATGTGATTTGTGTGTTTTGCCTATGAATATAGAAATGCTTATATTCAAAATGAGTGTACATGTGGGTGTATTTCCACACTATTCCCTCGGCAATATTAGCACACACATATGGAAGTGTGTGCCTGGACTGGATAGTGGCAGCTGCCTCCCAGCTCCTGAGTTATGTATGGTGGAAATGCCACATTTCTTTAGTCCCCAGGATGGGCATGGCAAGTCTTCCCATGTCAGAAGTATGGTCACAGTCAGGGCCAGGTTCCCAGATGGTTTTCACACACCCCAGGGTGTGTGTGTGACACCAGAACCCTGGCTGTCCGACTCAGGACGTCCCAGAGTAGAATGAGCCCCTGGCAGGTGTACGCAAGGGTCGGAATTCATGACTGGTGGCCAGAGCTGATTGGTTACGATAGTGAATCCCATTGGCTTGAGCTTGTCAGGTAGTGAAGTCTCTGGATCTTTTGGTCTGCCTTTGAAATATGCTTAAAATGTGACTAGTTCTTAAGAAGCCTCCAGCTGCTGGGACTGCTCCGAGTCCCTGTCCTCTTTTTTCTAAGCGACTGCCGTCACCTCAGGTGGCTTTTCCCTCGCCTCTGCCAGCACCGGTCAGATGGAGCCATTCCCCCCCCCCCCCAGTCCTCCAGAGGCTCCCTCTCTCGTTCCTAGGAAGAAGGCACCCCCTCACCTGGCCTTCTGGGACCTGCACCACTCAGCCCTCCACCGCCCTCTGATCCTTGGGCTTCCATCTCAGCCGTTATCACTTGAGTGTTCTTCAAGGTCATCGTAGACCACACCCTCTTCCCACAATGCTCTTCTTCCAAATGTCCATTTAACTAAGTTTCTCAGCTCCCATGCCTCTGACAACCCTGTTTAAAACTGTGACTCGTTCCCAAACACACCCTACTTCCCTCCATGCCCCACCCTCTGTCACAGCACTGCCTGCAGAAGCATGCAGGGTACATCCTTCTTCTCCAGGAAACGAGGTTCACTAAGCCAGAGGGGTTTCTTTTGTTTCGTTCACTGATGTTTCTTAAATTCTTGGGGAAATGCTTAAGATGTGTCCATCACCAATGGACTGTCGAATGAATGAATGAATGAGTGAAGGAGGGAACAAAGGAATGAGTAATAAAAGGAGCACCACAGACGTCTTCCTGCCGGAGGCTGCTATGTTTGCTGAATCCCCTTCTTTAGGGGCACACCATGTGCATTCAGGTGTGCCTTTCAAGGGCATTCCAGCATGGCGCAAAGTGTAATCTGCAATCTGTCTCTATGTGTGTTTCAGTGTGTGCCAGCGGGGCTCATTCCAGTGCACTCTGCACCCCTGTGCGTCCACCTGCACTGTCTATGGGGACCGACACTACCGTACGTTCGATGGGCTTCCATTTGACTTCGTAGGGGCATGCAAGGTGCACCTGATCAAAGTGAGTCCCTGGCCATGCTTACTAGCTTCTTCCAGCACCCAGAATAACCAGGGGCCAAGATCTTTTGGATGTATGGATGGTCTGGACTCCAGGCTATTGCTCAATCGGGGGCGGGGGGGGGCATCTAAGTCCTGAAGTGCAGTTTCCAGAGACGGCCTCCACAGGGTGAAGGAAACCTGCTTCCAGTTCACCGCCATCACAGCCTCGCCGCACCAGTCCTGAAGTTTTGTCTGTCCGTGGTAGAAAGCGCTCATGCCTTTATGCTTTGCCAGCAGTGTGTGCCTAGTGGTCTCCTGGCCATCTGTGCAGGTTCTCTCACTTTAGCTGTCACAGCCCTGGATAGACCGGGTTAGTTGTCGCCATGTGACTGATGGGACACCATGGGCCAGGGGTAGTCAGGGAACTTGCTTGAGGTGACACAGCTAGGCAGCCACAGAACCAGGAATATGACTAGAAAAGTGGTAGGCTCCCGGAAGACTGCGGGAGTCATGTGTTCAACTCCTTCATTCACACAGAGGGAGAGGAATGGTGGTGTGGTTGGCACCGTGAAGGCAAGCGCCCCCTGGAGGACAGCAGGATGTGCGCCAGTGCCGGATATCCAGTGCCGGATATCCCGGGGACATTGGTTTCCTCAGGCCCCGCCCATCTCATCATAAGAGCAATACCAGCAATAACCACGATGCCCCAGCAGACATGCACTTATTTATTTATTATTGTTTTTGTGCCCAGGGCTTATATGCTGGACGAAACAGGACCTTTCAGAGGCTCTTGTCTGTGGGCAAGCATTGTGCTGGAATGTTTCCACAAGATGCACACTATTTAACTTGTGCCGTTTGATTTTAGGGTTTTTTTTAAAATTTGTGTATTTATTTTGAGGTGCTGCCATTTGTTTTGCTACGTTGCCCACGAACTGAGACTCTCGGGTTGGAGCAGTCTCCACCATATGCAGTCCACTCTTGAGCAGTAGACTACAGACACAAACTGTGGTGTGTCCATACCTAAAAACTAATTTTCAGATGGCGTTTCTCACGTGAGCGTCGCGCGCGCGCGCGCGCGCACACACACACTCACACACACACACACTGCTTAGTTCACATGAACAAGACTTGACAGCTTGCTCTTCCCGTTTAATGGCGTGCCTTGGGTATTATCACACACTGTCAGATGCTCTACGTTATTTTTAACCTGTGTTAATTCCACACACGGGGTACGGTGCCACACAGGGATGGATGGGTTTTAGCTTAGTTGCAGTACTAGAGCGCTGTACAAACACTAGTGTGGCTGTGTCTCTTAGCTCTTCGGAGTGGAATTGCTACATGAAAAATAACATACGTTTAAGATGCTATTCAAGAGCGGCAGGCACGCTTGCAGCGTAGAACCCTTCCACTGCCTGTAAGACAGTGCCCTCTCTCTGGTTACCTCCCCTCCCTCACTCATTCCTCAGACCCTTTGGGCATAGTTACTGCCTGCTACTCACAGCACTAGGCAGCCAGAAAATGAATCTGAGTGTCAGAGAACTGAAGTTGCCCAAAGCCTCACAGCTGGTGCGAAGTAGATTCAGGGCTAGGAGATTCCTCAGTCTACAGAGTTCTTGCTTTGCAAGCATAGGGGCCTGAGATCATCTCCAGAACCCACATAAAAGCTGGGCTGAACTTGTAGTCATGGAGCTAGGGAGGCAGAGACAGGCATACCCCTGGGGCTCCCTGGCCCACCTTAGCGAGTTCCAGGCCAGTGCCAGATCTTGTTTCACGGCGAAGGTGAACAGAGCCCAACAATGACACCCAAAGCTTGTCACCTGGCTTCCGCATCGCATATTATGCATGCATACATACACGCATGTGCATAGCTGCCCGTTTTCACCTCCACCTCACACACAAACACACACGGACCTCCCCACCAGCACTTGCAAAAAGAGTCCACAGCGCTTCTCCTCTGTGCTCTTCCCAGGATGTGTCCTTTCCCTGGCTGTCCTTTTACTGGCTTCTTTTCTGCTCCTCAGAGTGTGTCAGAGCTCAGCTTCTCAGTGATGGTGGAAAACGTGAACTGTTACAGCTCCGGCGTCGTGTGCAGGAAGTCCATCTCCATCAGCGTGGGCAGCTCCGTCGTCATCTTCGATGATGACTCAGGGGATCCTGTAAGGACCTGCTCTGGGGAAGGTTGTGCCGACGGGGCACAGATTGGTGGTGATGAGGCAGGAGAGGGCTGGGCTCCACCGTGCCCCTGAGGCAGCAGCTCTGACTGGATTCTCTGTAAAGGGCAGGAGCAGAGAGCAGCATTGGGATGGAAGGAGGGAGAGGTTGAGTTGGTGTTGAGGGACACTCAGGTTCAGGACTGACTGTTCTGCCTCTCTAGAGTCCTGAGAGCTTCCTGGATGAGAAGCATGCTGTCCACATCTGGAGAGCAGGCTTCTTCACGCTGGTGCATTTCCCGAGGGAGCACATCACCCTCCTCTGGGACCAGAGAACCACTGTGCACGTCCAGGCCGGCCCTCAGTGGCAGGTAGTCATGAGACCTGAGCCCACCATCTCCGCCGTTTTCCCGTTGTCCGGGGACTGAGGCAGGCTGTGCTGTCCTGGGCTGACATGTCTTTCTCTCAGGGCCTGGGAGGGTCACAACTGTCCACTGCTACCCTCTCTGTTCTGGCATCTTTCTCTGGCCTTGCCCTGCCCTCTTCAAACCATCCTCCCCGCAGTTACTTCCCTCTCTTCTTGCAGCTAACATGGCGCCCTCCCTCCCCCTCCCCCCTCAGGGTCAGCTGGTGGGCCTTTGTGGGAACTTTGACCTGAAAACTGTCAGTGAGATGAGGACCCCAGAGAACCTGGAGTTGACAAACCCCCAGGAATTTGGCAGCAGCTGGGCTGCATTGGAGGTAAGTTCTTCCAGCTGGCTGGTAGCCCTCACTGTCCTAGAGGGGCCACACACATCTAGGACCCAAGTCAAGGTGTGGGGCTCTCCCAGGGAATGCCCTCTGCCTCTGACTGGTATTCCTAGCCTAAGACCCTGTCCCTGCCCCACAAGGCAGGCAGCCCACCCTGCCCTTGGCCAAACTCAGGTGATTAGTAAAATGGAAAAGGTGGAGTTCCGCAGGTAGGCTGTGTTTGGAGGGAGACCATGAGCGGAAGCATGGGGACATTCCTGGGGGTTGGGAGCTTCTGTTGAAGTGAGGGGGCCATGCCAGGAGAGAACCCATAACAACTCTCATCAGCCCAAGAGGCTGCCTGCAAAGTGTCATTGAGAAATACCTCAGGGCTCTGATTGATTAATTATGTCTGCCTCGGGTGCAGCAATGGAGAATGGCCATAGGACAGTCTCAGGTACCTCTTGCCTGCGCTGAGTGGATCTTAGTTCTTTGCAGGAGGGAGGACAGAGATGAGGGAAGCAGAGCATTTGGCCACAGCACCCACCCCCATTTTAGAAAAGCAGAATAGATGAGTGATTGTGTATTTGAGAACCCCCTCCCCACCAGCTCACATCTTAAGCTTTTAACTTTAGGCATGCTGGGGAGGCAGTGTGTAAAAATATAGGCCTGGGGAAGTAGGACCAGCTCTGGGGAAATCTATGTTAACTGCCCTTTGCCACGCAACAGTGGCGTCCGACTGGACGGTGGCGCCACTAAGGGACGCCTATCTTACCTCAGTCCCTGGTGGCTGGGAATCAAAGCGTGAGGCTGGGTTTTCTACTCTGTGACCCACAGGCTGCAGATAAGGTGATGTTCAGGCTGGGCCTCACCCTGAGGCTCCACACATGGGTGCCTGTGGGTCACCTTCACTCCAGGACCTGTAGGCCTGAAAGCTTTAGCTTTCAGTAGCTGTTGGCCAGAGGGCACCCTTAGCTCCTAGAGGCCACCCTCTTCTTCCTGCTTCCTCACAGCCAGTAAGGACAGACTCCAGTGAGGGCTCTAGGACCTCATCTGACAAAGCAATCATGTGATCACAGACTCACAAGCTGCTGTGTCCCCCCGGAACCTGTAGTGTGCTTGTTCTGGCTGCTGGGAGCAGGTTGGAGGCTCCTCCCATTCTCCAGGGCATGTGGATGCTAAGAGGACAGTCTCAGGGCCTGCTTGTGACCAGGCGGAGGGACACGAGGCATAGGAGATGGCTCTGCTCGATGCCACAGGCGCTGCTCTCCCTTTATCCTACAGTGCCCAGATACCCCTGACCCCCGGGACACATGTGCCCTCAATCCCCTGCGAGAACCCTTTGCCAGGAAGGAATGTGCTATTCTGCTCAGTGAGGTGTTTGAGCCCTGCCATCCCGTGGTGAGTGCCTTCCCCTGTGAAGTGGGTCTCTGCTCCTCCTAAGTCCCTCCCCCCTTCCCAGGACCCTTCCTTTCCAAAGACTCCCTTAAAAGAGGGGAGGCCCATGTCTTTCCCGCCATTCTCCTGCCTCTGCTCTGCCCAGATCATCCTCCCCTAAGTCCCTGCCACCTAGGGACAGCCAGCCAAGCCTCTGAGCTCTCTGCAAGCCCAGCTGTCCCTGGCTGTCCCTGCTCATGAGGAAGCTCTGCCGCCCTGACCCCCTGTGCTGCACCCTGCCTCTTCCCTGCTCTCCGTGGAGATGAGAAGGTTGGGGCTCTCCTCACGTGGCTCCTACAGGGCTTCAAGGACCACTGCAGCCTGGCCTTTGGGACCGGTGCCTGACTGGGCAGGCCACCCACTCTGAGCTTCAGTGCTTCCTTCGTCCCCCGAGCCCAACATCCTGGGCTCAGGATGAGCCTCTCAAAGTGGGAATCTGCCTTCGGAGATGCCCCCCCCCAGCCCACATCCCATGCAGGCAGCTCATCCTACCCGTGACATCTTTGTGCTGTCGCAGAAAAGACGCAGGCCTGACCTTCAGAGCCCTCTGACCTTCCCTAGGTTGATGTCACTTGGTTTTACTCCAACTGCCTGACGGACACGTGCGGCTGCAGCCGGGGTGGTGACTGTGAGTGCTTCTGTGACAGCGTGTCTGCCTATGCCCATCAGTGCTGCCAGCACGGGGTGGTCATTGATTGGCGGACCCCCCGCCTCTGCCGTGAGTGTTCCAGACTGCACCCCATGGCTGTATATTCCTGTGCTGCAATTGGTGAGGAGAGAGAGGGGTGTGCATGCCATGCTCAAGGTCATGCAGGAGAGTAGGGTAGCCGGAGCTCGTCCCTGATTGCTAAGGGAGTCCCAAGCCCTGGGGTCCAGGGCCAGACTGGCTTTTGCGTGCTCTGTGACCCCAAACAAGCTGCCCAACTCCTCCGAGCTGCAGTTTTTATCACCTGAACAACAGGCATAGACAGGCCCTGGCTGAGCTGTGGAGAGGTCCTGTTTACTCAAATCAGCGTGGGCCTGTGGATGCAGCGGATAGACACCTGAATGAGATGGAAATACTCTGAGCACACATGTGCACACACGCAGTCATATGCACAAACTAGAGCGTAAGTGTATATCATAAAACACACAGAATAAGTGAAAGCCGAAATAAACTGTGGGGAAGGTTAAATTAATTCTAAAGATCGTTTCCCTTAGATTCCAACATCCCATAGTGGGGTTTTTCCGACCTTGTGTTGGGTCAGTGGCTCAACAAGGGGAGATAATCTGTTTCAAACCCAGCTCTGTCATGTGGGTTCATCCCATCGCCACAGCACAGGAGCAAAGCGAAGTCCCCACCCGAGGCTGAGAACGCTAAGCTACACAAAGCTTACAGCGCTGGCTTGGCTCGGTGCAGCACTGTTAATAGACACAGGGGTGTTGGCACACCCCCAGCCCCTGGAGCTCCCGGCTGGGGGACCCCAGGGGGAGAGGGAGGAACACCCCCTTCCCTTGGCTTCCTTTATTCATGTCTGCCCCCCCCCACGGCCTTTAGCGTAGATGATGGTTCCTGGTGGGGGTCTTCCTTCCCTTTGCTTCTGGCAACCACCTTCAGGAAGGAGAGGAACGCACATGTTACGGGGGACCTACCATGACATGCTACATGTGTGCTGTCTCCCATGTGTCTAATAATCAGGGCAAAGGTGAAGCACTTGTCAGAGGTCTGGCACTTACAGGGACACCAGACGACTCAGGGATCCAATGCAACAACGCTTTAATGTAATAGCTTTCAGAACTAAAACTTGCTGCAGAAAATATTATTTGTGGACAAGTACCAAAAGGTCAGGGTTATCGGTTTCCCCTGGGTGTAGGCTCCACGGTGGCTCAGTACATGGGGCCCCATTGCTGCTTATTTTAACGTTTTGATATTATGTTTCTTATGAACTTTTTGTGCTGATTTGGATATGTTTAGAATGTCACCTTAAAGTAGGATTAGCTAGTGACCTGCACAAAGCAAGGGCGGTTTCTTCAAAGATTAATAAGGTTTTTAGTGAGCATCAAAATATCACAACGGGAATGCGTGGACCTCACTGGGTCTGTGAGTTTAAGGGACGTCGAGGCAAGGAGGGATTTTAACGTTAAAGTGAGACATATTACACGAGATGTTTTAAAATCAATAATCCCGGGCCAACGAGATAGCTCAGTGGGTGGAGGTGCTTGTTGCCAAGCCTGGCGACCCGGGTCCATTCCCAGGACCCGTGTGATGGAGGGAAAGGGAAGACTCCCTGGAGTTATCCTCTGACTTCCACGTGTCGCCACACGCATCTCCCAATGAACAAGTAGCTGTAACTTAAAGGAAAGGTCTTGGCTAACATTGAAATAAATGGTGTTGGGATCGACAGCAAGCCCACGGCTGGACAGATGGGGACAGACACCCCTGCAAATGCCTTCCTTGCAGCAGTGTGTAGCCATTAGGCTGGCTCGCCAAGAAGCTTTAGAGATCCACTTGTCTCTGTCTCCCCAACACTGCGTTGAACTTGGTCCTTGTGCAGGTTAGGCAAGCTCTTTACCACCTGAATCACCTGCCCAGCCCCCCTCATAGTGTTATGGTTCAGCATTCCACGTCCACTGTGAGGAAAAGCCAGTGCTTGCCCATAGGCCCTTGGCAAGGCAGCTCCTCACTCCGTTTTTGTTTTTTTGAGACAGGGAATCTCTATGTAATCCTGGCTGTTATATAGACCAGACTGTCCAGGAACTCTTGGGAGATCTGTCTGTCTTTGCCTCCCAAGTGCTGGGATTAAGGGTGTGTGCCACCACACCCTGCTTCATCTTCTGACCCTTAACAACCTTGCAAGAGGGCAGGAAGGCACAACCAAACATATTGATTGTGGGTCTAGGACGTAGCGAAGGGTCGATGACTCTTCCCACCATCCCTGTGTGTGAGGCAGACACTTCCTCCGCCTCTATCCCATCTGCACCCAGGCCATTCCTCATAGTTTTGTTCTTGGTTGGCAAGGTCCACACAGCTCACCTGTGTGTGCTGAGGTAGACTAAGGATGCAGATTTTCCACTAGAGGGCGCAATGGGTCCACGCTTTCGGGGCTCCTTGCTGCCTAAAAGTGCTTTGGGGGAGCCCTACACTGCACAGAGGGTTGTGGAGAGCCTGGGATCCCGGAGGCCCTTTGTCCCATTCCATCCAAGGCTGCGGAACTTCTGTCTTGTGCTTGCGTTTCTTCTTTGGCCTCTTCTGCAAAATATCCAATCGGATCGTCTACACTTTGTTGTATTTGAGACAGGATCTCTAGTCCGGGTTTGTTTCAAACTCCCGATATAGCCAAGGTCCATCCCTCAATCTTAGGGCTTTGGAAATAGGCCAGATCCGGTCTTTGATGAGGGAGGGGGCTGGACCCAGGTGCCTTGTTCATGGGAAATCTCTCTTCTTTCTTCTGTAGCCTACGACTGTGACTTCTTCAACAAAGGTAAGCCAGACTTTCTCCTTCCCCCGAGCAGAGCCTTGGTGGGGCACAGCCTGGCTGGGCACTGCTATCGCTGCTCTTGGGCCGCCTCTGTGCTGAGACCTCCTGAGGTGCTGCAGACCCTGGGCCCCCTGAGCTGGGGATGGACGGAATGTGTGATGTGGGGTCCCGATGGTGCAGGGCTCAGGGACATCCAGGCTTTGCCCACAGCTGTCCCTGCAGCCCCGTGTGAGGCCCAGGACAGGAGTCTTCTCCGAGATGCTTCTCCAGGCACCAGAGTGCCCATGCCACAGCATTTCTAACTGGGCCCAATACGTTTTAGTGTTGCCAGGGTTCTCAGAGTTGTCAAAAGCAGGTGCCGATGGTTTTCTCTGAGGAAGGCTGCAGAAAGCCTAGATGGGACCTTCAAATACACAAGGGTTCACGGGGCCAAGATGTGCAGCCGCATCTCAATTTTTAGTGAAGACAGAAATGCGAGTCTTTGCTGGAGACCTGGGGAGATTGGTGTCCAGTATTGGAGCCCCTGAATCCATTTGATCAGAGACTGAATGGGCTTTGGCAAGATGGCTGCCGGAATAGCTCTCAGCGTCCGAGCTTGGTCCACTTGGGCCATGGTGGCCTCTTGGAGCTAGGGTGCCCTAGCCCTTGTCATCCAAGCCCCCAGGTCTCCTGTCAGCCACACCCTGCAGTAGCTAGCCTGTGTAGGTGTGGGCACAGGCTTTGTGCACATTTTGGTGTCTTCCCAGCAAGACTTGAATGAGAAAAGGAAATTAAAAGAGACACGTCGACTGCTCCTCGGTACTGTGACAGAGAAGGCTTATTGTAGATACAAGGGAGAATACTGCCATAGGCAGAGGCATCTGGAAGAGTCCAGAGTGAACGTGACCTTGAGCTTGGCCACTTGAGGAGAGTAGAGGGAGGGGACAGCCAGGAGGCAGAGGCCAAAAGGTAAAAGGATAAAAATGTGCTGGCATAGCCAAAATGTCTGGGTTATCTCGGGAAGAGCAGCTGGGGGAAGGGCAGCCCAGCCCCTGGGCTGCAGAAGTTTAGGGTAGTGGGTGGGGCATGCCAGGCAGGAGGACCCTGTAACACAGCGGTCCCCAACCTTCCTGCTGTGACCCTTTAATACAGTTCCTCATGTTGCGGTGACGCCCAACCATAAAATTAGTTTTGTTGCTACTTCATAACCGTAATCTTGCTACTGTTATGAATCATAATGTAAGTATCTGATATGTCGAAGGTTTTAGGCAACCCGCAGGTTGAGAGTTGCTGCTGTAACAGCCAGGAACTGAGGAATGCTGGGAGAACCTGGCAGCCGGCACCCACGTGCGTGCCTCCCAGGTTTAACACCTAACAACTATGGCCCATGGAAAGGACGCGAGAGACAAGACTAGGACTTTGCAGAGAGATGGCCCCGCCAAATGATAGTTCCAGGGGGCGGCTGATGGTCCCAGACCTTCGATGCCCAAAGGAATGACTCCGGAAGAACTGTGTCCCTGAGACGGGAGGGTCCTTGTGGCATCGGGCGAGACATTTCAGCAGCAGTTCTGAGCAATTCTCTCCCTCGAGGCTGGCATTTTGGGTGTCAGTAACTTGCAAAGGACAAGCTGCTTCCAGCATCCTCCACCTACCCACCCACCCACCCACCCGTTCCTTGCTTCGTTTTTCTCCCAGCATTCTTTTTTTTTTTTTTTTTTTTGCGGCCCAGACCTCATGGGTGCTGGGAGCTGGGAAAGAGGGCCTTTACAGAGGTGCATGGGAGCATCCTGGCACCCACGTGTGTGCTCTGAAACCCACGGTCACTCTTGTGAGTGTTCACACCATTGAAATCAGCTGATGTGACACACTTTTTTTTTTTTTTTTTGTCCGTTTGTTAAGGGCGGGCTGTTGACCGTTTACACTGTCTGCGTCCTCATGAAGGACCCAGATGGGAACCCCAATGCAGACCCACACCCTAGAGCTGTGACGGGCGCATGTTTGCTCCAAGGGCCGGTAGAACATGGAGGAGGGTATGGCAGGAGGGGAAGCAAGGACCTTCCCTAAGGAGGCGACATTTGAGCCTCCAGGGACTGAGTGGGTGTCTTCGAGGCGCCAGCGGAAGATTTCTCTGAGGGTGTGGGGCAACATGATGGAGATGAGCAGCGAGGCAGGAAGGAAGTCCAGTGTGACAGGAACCCTTGTGGGGTGGGGAGGCAAAGTGTGGGTCCAGGATGGAAGAGCCCGAGTTAAAGCTGAGTTCCTAAGGATGAGGAGAACCACTGGGGAGGTGGCCCAGACAGCTGGGACACACCAGAGCTGGGAAGATCATTTACAAAGCTGTCGCAGTTGTCTGGGACAGCCACACCCTCTCCACCCTATGCCCGTAACTCCAAAGCCCTCCCATACACAAATGGGGCATATGCACAAAATACATAGATGTAAACTTTAAGCTCTGCGGCCCTTGCTGTCATCCCTTAGGATCGGGTGGGGGGTCCCTGGTGGAGCAATGTCTGTCACGGTAATGGCTCATGCTTCTGGGGGTGACTGTCATGGGCTCCTTGTGCAATGGCTTAAGTTCAGAGGGAGACTCCATCTCCTTCAGGGGCTGCTAGCCTGGGGTTCCCGACCCATCATAGCCACTAAGGTACCTGTGGTCTGGGGTGAGAAGCTACCGAGAATCCCTTCCTAACACCCTGCCTCTTCTGAACTTCTGATGGGTGGGACAGGTGGGTTGGGTGGTGGGGCTTGTGACAGGAGCTCTTCTCTCCAGCTTTAGGTAAGGGTCCCTACCAGCTGCTCAGTGCGGAGGCTGGTGGCACTCTCGTGGCCTCGAAGGCGGTAGGCAGTGACATAGCCCTTGTGAGGGCAGAGGATCTGGCGCCAGGCGACATTTCAAGCTTCCTGCTGACAGCTGCTCTGTACAAGGCCAAGGCCCATGGTAAGGCCCACCCTCTGGCTCCAGTCCAAAAGGGAGTGGGTGCTGAAGCCCACAGCCACCACAGGGCTCCAGCCCCGCGCTGTTCCTAGCTCAGACTAGTTTCTTGACCTCTGTGACCCCGAACTGCCTAGGACAGGACCCGTACAGGACTTTGTCTCCTACCATTGTTCCAGAAAGTTCCAGGGGCAGCAACCCCCTCCATTCTTTTTGTGTCCGTCTCTCTTCCTTCCCCCTGGCTTCTTTCCTCTCTCTTCTCCCTCCTTCCTCTCCCCTCCATTCTCCTGGTCTCCCTCTCACCAAGCCTTAAACATAGGGCAAGCACAGGAACCAGATGTTAAGAGACAGAGCAAGGGCTAGTCCCTGCCCGGCGGGCGTTCCAGTACCCTGGCTCATGGCAACAAGGAAGGGCGTGTTTCATAGTCCAGTGGCTGTGGGGGTCCTGCTTGGGGGGAGCTCGCTTGGGGTCTTGAGGGATGGGAAACTTATAGTGACAAGAAGAAATGGGGACACTGGACATAGTGTCCTCACGGAGCTTGCTGACTCACCAGACCCAGTTGCTCCTCACCTCCAGTGGCTGTCACCCTGCAGAAGGACCCCTCCTGTCTGCTGCCAGGCACAGCACGCCCAGGCACATGCAAGCTTTCCTGGTGGGATGGGAGGAGAGATGGGATGGGAGAGCAGCTGTGGGCGGGCATCTGTAACCTCCCACTTAATCCCAAGAGGCTAATGAGCAGAGGGCAGCCAGGGAGCCGAAGGAGGTGGGATGGTAGGAAGCTCCAAGGGGAGCCTGCCCAGCTTGTCCCTGGGAGCTGTCTGTCACCCCAACCTCTGAGTGTAAGGACACATAAAGTGTGCTGCATCCCCCAGATCTGGTCCCCTCTGTCCACTGACCTAACTCCCGTGGCTCTACAGATCCTGATGTCGTGTCCCTGGAGGCAGCCGACAGACCCAACTTCTTCCTGCACACCTCAGCCAATGGGTCCATAGGGATGGCTAAGTGGCGGGGTGATGAAGCCTTCCAACAGCATGCCTCCTTCTCCCTGCACCGGGGGACATGGCAGGCCGGCCTGGTGGCTCTGGAGTCCCTGGCAAAGCCTGGCTCCTTCCTGCACTCGGCAGGCCTTGAGCTGGCTCTGCGGACATACGAGCACACAGAGGCTTTCCGTGGCGGTGCGCTCTTCCGCCTCCTGGGTAAGCCTCCGCCCTGCTGGCGCTCCTCAGTCTGGGGGCTTCAGCTGCTTTTCCTGCCTTCTCCCCTCTTCCCTTCCAAGGAGCAGAATCTTCATCCTTTTTGGAAGGCGGTGCTCCCTGGGGGGGGGTACCCCTGGAATGGGAGGTGATCTGACGACCATATTGGCAGATGAGGGAGGGTGGTTGAGACCCAGCTGACTCCCTGGGCCCTGCCTGCTGCTGCAGCCCACTTACATAGTGTAAAAGGCCATGGCCTGTATGGAGTGATGGGAAAGCTGAGCCTGGTGGAGGTTTATGTAGCTCTTGGCCCCACTCTCCTGGACACGTATTTAAAGCACACCCTGGGCACACCAGGCGGGGAAGACAGCCAGACCCCAGCCATCATGAACGCTGGCTCCTCCGCCAGGCTTCTTGATCTTTTCCTGCCTGTCACCGTCCCTCACTACAAGGCAAGGGAGGCGCGGGCTGACCTGGGGTAATTCTAGGCTCTGGGGTTCTGTCTCGCGGTCCAGAGACTTGGAGGGAACTGTCTTTCTAGATGCCACGCCCCTGGGGGCTGCTTATCCCCCCTGTGAGTGGCACTATGATGCCTGTGCCAACCCCTGCTTCCAGACCTGCCGGGACCCACAGGCAGCTAGCTGCCAGGATGTGCCCAGGTAAGGCCAGGAGGCGGTGGGCATAGAGTCAGCGCGTATGAAACCGAGTCTGAGCACACCGCAAGCATGTGTGTAGACACGCATGTGGGCATGTGTGTACTAAGGTGTGTGTTGGGGAAATGTGTTTCTAATGGGTTATTTTTCTCACTGCCACGGCAAAATACCCGACAAGTACAACAAGGGAAGGTTGATTTGCAGTCACAGTTTGATAAGGGATCCAGCCATGGCAACAAAGCTGTGGGTTCACATTCAAATCACAACAGTATATGTGTGCCGTATGTAAATGTCACATCTAACGTGTATGTGCCGGCCGTGCACAGCAATATTCACACACCTGTGTGAGCTGATTATATGCAGTTGAGAGTGGTTGAAAATGTCCCTGGAGTGTGTAAGCTGACATTTGTGGGCATCTACATAGAAGGGTATCAATCGTGTATGCAGTATGCATATATCTTGGCTTTTTATAGCCTTGGAAAGAGCCTGTGGGCTGTATGAGGATGGGCCTATGTGGAAAGCCTGAGCATATGCATAGGTGTGCACATAGCCACACATTGCTCACGTATGTCTCCCTGTTGGGCAGGGTGCGCTACTGTACACGTGTGTCACTAGGTCTCTATAGAGCTTTACATGTGAGTGCATGATAAGCACGTACACAAGCGCACACACACGTGCCATAAAGGGGGTGGAGCCTGTGTGCTATCCAGGCAAAAGACACCGTGTTCTGACCACCAGCCAGCTCCCTGCTGTGTCCTTAGGGTAGAAGGCTGTGTCCCTGTGTGCCCTACACCCAAGGTCCTGGATGAAGTCACACAGAGATGTGTCTATCTGGAAGACTGTAAGTGGCCCTGGTGTTCTCCTTCTGTCTCCCAATCCCTCAAGTCTCCAGGGTGTGGCTGGGAAGTTCTGCTCAGGGTCTCAGATCCCAGGGTGGCAGAGTCAGCACGGGACTCTGGAAGGAAGGACCTTCAGAGCTGGGGAGGCTCTGTCTGGTCCCCATTGCAGAGAAACGAACGGTGAGGGGCGGAGGTCTTGCTTGGGGTCTTGTGCTGAGTGCACAGGGCAGCTAGGCGTAGGAGAGATGTACAGAGACCGTGCTGGTTCTGTGGAGAGAGGCCTTGGCTGCCTGGCAGCAGAAGCCATGCTTGCCCGATCGCTTAGGGTGCCGGTCCTCCAGTCCCATAGCTCAGCCCTGCCCCATGAGGATGCCTGGGGCAGTCAGCCTCCTTACAGGCCTCTTCTCTTGTCTGTCCCAGGTGTGGAGCCAGCCCTGCAGGGTCCCACGGAGGAGGCACTTAGTAATGAGACCCTGGCACCTGCTGAAGTGCTCTCCACCCCCAGTGACAAGCTGCAGCTCCCACAGGGGCCTCCAAGAGCCCCCACCCACAGGCCTGCCCTTGTCCCACCGACTTCAGCCCCAAATCCACCAATGGCTGCCACCGGGGGCCAAGGGCCATCTCCAGGCCCCACCCAACCCACACTGCAATCCTCACCTGGGCTTCCAACGTCTAACCTTACTGCTCAGTACACAGAGGCCCTAGCCAGCGAGGAAGGGACTGCCGGCCTCGTAGCCACCTCTCGCCCCCCGGAGTCCTCATCCCCCCTCCTTGGATCTCTGCAGACACCCACATCTGGCATTGTGTCAGGCACAACAGAGACCACCAAAGTGACCCTGACCTTCTTCCCACAGAGTCCCAACACCACCGTACCCTCCCGGTCACGCCCTGTACCTCGCTTCCCACTCACGACCAAAGCTGTGACAGTTCTGAGCCGTGACTCCTTTCCTGTTGGGACAACACCCTTGCAGCCCTCTTGGCTACCAAGCCCCTCTTCCGGATCCATGACTTCCCCGGGAGCGACTCCCAGGCCCCCCACGTCCCTGGGGTCCCAGTTGACTACAGTAACTAAGGTCACAAATAAGACAGTGATGTCCCCGTTCGCCTTGGCCCAGAGCACGTCAAGGTCTAGCCACCCCCTGGCTGTGTCGAGCTCAACAGAGCAGGCCATCAGACCCTTTGTCACCAAGGATTTGGAGGTGGCGCCAGCTACAGAGAAGGAAGAGCCTGGGCAGAGCCAGCCTGTAAGGCTGCCGATGTCCGCGCACCCAAGCTCAGTCCCCATTGACCTGCCTCATCCAGCCCAACACACCACCACAGCAACCGGGCCTCCAGCTCTGTCCCTGGGGGCCCTGGCTGCTGGCAGCCCATCCACAGGTGCTCACAAGCCGGGGGCCACAGCCTTAGTTTCTCTAGAGTCAACTCGGTCACCCCAGCTCCTGTCTGGCTTGCCTCTCGACACCAGCCTGCCGTTGGCTAAAGTGGGCACATCTGGCCCGGTGGCCACACCAGGCCCCAAAGGCTCTATCACCACCCCTGCATCCCAGCATCAGGCCGCCACTCTGGCCCTGGCCACGACCGTGACACCACGTGCTCACAAACTCATTCCAACAGTGCCTCCTCTCCTGTCTGCTGTGGAGGACCTGGTGCCCTCACCTAGCCCCACAGTACCCCAAATAACAGCTGTGGCTCCAGACCTAATTCTGGGAGCCACGGCGCCAAGCTCTGGAGCCTCAGCCGTGACTGCTGGGGTGCCCCCTACAGTGTCTGTTGCCCCACGGAAGAGCACCACCCCTAAAGCAGCCATCCTATCTAAGAAAGTGTCCCCACCCACCTCCACCTCTGGCTCCACCCGGGGTGGGTTCACAGAACTCACAGCCATAGTAAGCCATACTATCACTCCCTTGGAGATGGAGACAGAAGGCCCCCAGGCGGACACAGTGCCCCTGGTGCCCACATCCCACTCCCTAAGCCAGGGGTCAGCCAGGACGGCCTCCAGGGAGGGCTCACTGGCTCTGCTGCCTCAGCCGGCGGAAGCCCATGGGACCCCAGCAGGGCTCCAGCCCCAAGAGGATGCCCTGTACCAGGCCACCACGGAGCAGTCAGGGCGCTCAGCTCCAGCCCAGAGCATAGCAGAGGGATCGTCAGAGGTTGAAGTGAACGTTTCTGACACCTGTGTGGTGAGTGTCTCGCCAGGTTCCTCAGTGTTTGTGAATCCTCTCTCTCCCAAGACCCGGCCTCCATCCCGCCGCTAAGATGGGCACCACCGTGTGGTCATAGCCTGTGCTTGTGGCGGCCCCTGCCCTTTCACGCTGCAAGCCGGAGGTAGTGCACTTACCCCTGCCCCAAGCTCCTGGCACTTCAAAAAGTCCCAGTCTCCTCGGCCCCCTGAAGCCACAGCAGGGTCCGTCCCTGTCTGTTTGGGTCCAGAACCTGACTGGATGAGTGGTTTTGTAGGGTGTGGTGAGAATGGGATTTGGGCCCTGAGCTTGCTACTCAGCTAGCTTTCTCTACACATACACGGTCCAGGGCTCAAAACCCGGGAATGGCGCTGCCCACGTTCAGGCTGGGCCTTCCCACGCCAATGAAGACAATTAAACCAACCCGGCACAGCCGTGCCCACAGCCCAACCTGAGCCAGATAGCCTCTCACCGAGACTCTCTTCCCAAGTAACTCCTGATGGTTTCAAATCGACTGTTGCAACTAGCCATCCCAGGGCACCCGGGTTGCCTGCCCTGCTTGAATATGGCTCGTTCCAGAAGGGCTGAGGTAGGCGATTCCGTAAGCGAGGGGCACCCATGTTGACGCCCCACTTTGTGCCACAGCCCATCGCTGAACAGGACTGCGTCCGACACATCTGCCTAGAAGGCCAGCTAATACGTGTGAACAGGTCCCAGCACTGTCCGAGGGGTGCTGCACCTCCACACTGTGGGGTCCTGGGCCTTGCCGTGCGGGTGGGTGGGGATCGCTGCTGCCCGCTCTGGGAATGCGCCTGTGAGTTTTGGGGTCTGCCCGAGCCTCCGTCCTCCCCCCAGCATGCATACCTCTTCCCCTAGTCCTTGTGACCTCTGAACTCTGAGACACTCTCCAATCCCCAGAGACTCTTCCTAGGTGGCCTTGGAGCCATCTGCTTGTCCTTTCCTGTCCCTGTTTCCAGGCCGATGCTCGATCTTCCCAGACCTGAGCTTCGTAACCTTCGATGGCAGCCATGTGGCCTTGTTTAAGGAGGCCATCTATATCCTCAGCCAGAGCCCCGATGAAATAATCTCCGTACACGCCCTGGATTGTAAGAGCGCCAACCTGGTAAATGCCCCTGGCTTTTCTCCCTGCCAGGGCCTGAGAACTGAGCTGGGCTGAGAGGGGGGAAACTGGGCAGTAAGCTGGAGTCCAAGGAAAGCCAGAAGTTAGGGCAGGCACTGGGGAGGGTCGCCGCGGCATCTCTCACCCCCCCCCCCCCGCCTCCCAGGGGGTTCCTGGAATGGTAACTGATCTCCCCTTAGCAGGCCGGGTGACTGAAGTGTTAGTGGAGCAGAGCGTGCCTGCCACCTCCTGGCCCTTCCTGGGATCTGCACCCTTCCTAGTAGCTTTCTATACTAGTGGACTCTAAGTATAGAGGAACAGGGAAGCCATTCCAAGGTGGTGGCCTGTGGTTTTCCTCCCTCCCTCCCTCCCTCCCTCCTCCCCTCCACCCCTCCCTTCCTCCCTCCTTTCAGTCTGTGGGGCTTGCATGAGGTCAGGTAGGATTCTGTGCACCATCTACCTAGGCCCACATTTCCTTTACTCACAGAGTTGGAGGGGAACTTGGGGGAGGCTCTGGGCTGATGAGGCTGGACTTTCTGCAGGGACACCTGAACTGGCCCCCATTCTGTCTGGTTGTACTGAATGTGACTCATTTGGCCCATCATGTCACCATCGACCGCTTCAACAGGAAGGTGAGTGCATCAGAGAGGAGGCCTCCAGGACAGCAGTCAGAGGGTCAGAGTAAGCAGGAGTAATTAGGGACAGGGCCTGGGGGACACACTCTTTTAGGAAATGATGGCTCATGCCTGTAATCCCAACACCAGGAGCAAAAGGCAGGGGGCTTGCTGACTCTGTGTAGCCAGCCGGGACTACATAGTGAGACTCCGCTCAGAAAATAGAATAACATAAAGCAAAATATGGTACACTTGGAAGTTATTTAATGTAGGATGCTTGGTCCATTTTAATGCCAGGGGAAGAAGGTAACAGGCAGCATCAGCCTGGCGAGATGGTGTACCCTTACATAATCACTGTCAAAAGAATTCTCTGTCCAACTAAATTTCCTTCGGTTGATGGGATGGTTTGGTGTGTTGTGTTTACTTTTTGAGTAGTCTTTATTGATCTCCCTCTGAGATGAATGGCAGGATTCACCCCCCCCCCTTCTGCAGGCTGCACTGTACAGGAGTCTTTGATCTGGCGGAACTTCACTTGTCAGATTGCTGTCATTTCCAGGGGCACGGGGTCCTCTCGGGAAAGTCCCTGCCCGTGTTCAGGAGCCGTTTTCCTACGCTTTCTCTAGCAGTGTCAGCGCTTCAAACCTCACACAAAGCGTTTGATCCATTGTGAGTCCTGTAGGCAGGAATTGCTCTGGTCTTCATCTTCCACAGGGGGTCTGCAGTTTTCTCCACACCGTCTGTTGAAGGGACTACCTTTCCTTCGATGTATGTTTTAAACGTCTGTCAAAAATCAGGTGGCTGTGGCTGTGTGTTTACTTCTGGGTCTTCTGTTCTGTTCCACTGGCTGCGTCTATTTCTGTGTCTGTGTCGTGATAGGTGTGTTTGCTTTTCCTTCCTTCCTCCCTCCCTCCCTTCCTCCTCCTTTCCTCCCTCCCGCCTCCTTCCTTCCTTCCCTCCTCCCTCCCTCCCTCCCTTCCTCCTCCTTTCCTCCCTCCCGCCTCCTTCCTTCCTTCCCTCCTTCCTCCCTCCCTTCCTCCTCCTTTCCTCCCTCCTGCCTCCTTCCTTCCTTCCCTCCTCCCTCCCTCCCTCCCTTCCTCCTCCTTTCCTCCCTCCCATCTCCTTCCTTCCTTCCTTCCATCCTCCCTCCCTCCTTTATTTCCATCTTTCTCTCTTCCTCTCTTCCTTTCCACTATGGTTCTGAGTGCGGCTGTCCTTGGGTACCGCGGTACCTCCAGCATGGCTCTTCGTTCTCAGGACTGTTTGGTCATACAGGGACCTTGGTGCTTCCGTGCGAATTTTAGGATTGTTTTTCTGTTTCTGTCAAGATGGTGAGAATTTTGATAAGGATTGTATCAAATCTATAGGTTGTTTTTGCACAATATTGTCCTGCGAATCTGTGAGCATGGATGAATCTCTTTCCACATTCTACCTTCAATTCCTTTCGTTGAGGCCTACATCTTTCGTTGTAGATATTCACATTCTTGGTTAAGTATATTCCGGCTTTGTTTTGAGGCTGTTGAGAATGGGATTCCTTTCCTGCCTTGTGACTGAAATACCAGGCCCCAGAACTTTGTAATGAAGTCTTTAGGGTGTTTCAGATATGGGATCATATTACCTGCAAGGGGGGATAATATGATTTGGGCTTCCGTTGCTTTTGTTTAATTCTTTAGCCTTGTTGCTTGGGATATAACTAAACACTGAATTGAACAAGAGGAAGGGAGTGTACACCCTTGTCTGTCTCTGACTTTAGAGGGACCCCCCATTTAACACAGTGTTGCTATGGTCTTACCACCTAGTCTTCATTGTGTTGAGGTACGCTCTCCCTAGCTTGTCACCTGGAGTTCAGGCCTCTGCAGTACAAAGAGGAAGACTGAAAATTGGGACCTTCCCAAAGCCACAGGTTTCTGGCCCCTGAACGGAGGTTCTCCTTGCTGAAGCTTAGTAACTCACTGAATAATTTGTGGATTAGTAAGACAGTCTATTCCTGACGGGAGGATGGTAAACCATAATAAATATTTTATAATCTTAATCTTTTCTGCCTTTCAGTTTTATAGCATAAAACTTAACCCCAGGTTACACACACTTTAAACCTTGTCAGTTTGCCGTAGAAGCCATACATAGCCTTGAGGGTTTGTGAGAATGGAGCTCTGCTGACTATTTAACAGATATTGGTTGAGCCCCCAAATGAAGCCAAGCTCAAAGACAAGTGCTGGGAATTCAAAGAATCAGACCCAATTCCTGCCCGAAGAAAACCCTAATCTAATGGTGACCTTAACTACGGAGGCGCTTCATTCCTCCAGGATGGAGTGCAAAGTGGAGCTGATGCTGTGGAGGGGGTACCTCAAGGCTGTAGAGAAAAATCTCTTGAGCAAAGCCAGCAAAATAGGAAGTGTTTGGTAAGGATGGGCATTTGTGTTTAGGCAGGCAGTGAGATGCAACCTGCCTCCTGCCGGTACAGTTATGATTTTAGTGGGTTTTGCCCATAAAATGTTTTCAGAATTCTCCCATGTTCTGTTGGACCTTGTTCAGGAGCCAAAAACAAACAAACAAACAAACAAACAAACAAAAAAAAAACCAATTGTGCCTTTGGGAAGGTCCCACAACTCTCTGATACCTCCAGCCTTCCCCTTTGAACTGCCAGAGGCTCAAACTCCAGGCTATGAGTCTTGGATGTGTGTGCCCCAAACAGCAGGGCACATAGGAGGTGCTGTGTTTGCCAGAAGGACTGATGGACAGGACAATAATGAAAAAATGGCTGGGTGGATAGGTAGGTGGACAGACAAATGGATGTGTGGATAGATTAGCGGGTGGACTGACAATGGACAGATGGATAAGTGGTTATCTCAGTGGGTATGCTTGTGGTAGTACAGACAGATATGTGTAAGGCACAGGTTTTTCAGCCCGCCGCCCGGTCTTGTCCTGCTACCGCGCCAGCCCCAAATAATACACAGAGACTCTGTATTTGATACAATGTTGTTGGCCCGGTTACTTGTTTCTTATCGGCTAGCTCTGCCTTAATTATTAACCCATTTCTGCTGATCTATGTGTTTTCACATGGCCTTCTCTTACCGGGGAGGTGGCTGGCGTCCAGCTCTCTCCTGACTCTCCATCTTGACTCCTCCTTCCTACTTCCTCTTTCCTCCTTGTCTCCTAGTCCCTCCTATCTTCCTTTCCTATTGGCCAACAGTGCTTTATTTATTAACCAGTATGAGAAACATATACAGAATGACATCTCCCATCAGATTTGAGCCGCTCTAACTCTTCGCTCCTTAAGGTAACTGTGGACTCTCAGGCTGTGTGGCCACCAGTGAGCAGATATGGGTTCCGGATTGAGGATACAGGCCATATGTACATCATCCGGACACCCTCGCACATCCAGATCCAGTGGTTCCACAGCTCGGGACTCATGATCTTGGAAGCCAGCAAAGCCAGCAAGGCCCAGGGCCGCGGCCTGTGTGGTGAGGTGGGACCCAGCTGGGGGAGGGTGGTGCTCCCCCAGCTCCTCTCTAGCACCAGGAAGGCTCCCTTGGATCAGGGTAAGTTGGGACAGGCGTCAGGCCGGCAGTGGGACCAACAAATCGCCAGTGCAGGAAGCCTGTCTGTGTCTGGGGCCGAGGCTGCTAGGGATAGTGCAGGGTTTCCTTGCCAATTGTCACTTCAGCCAGGTTTGTCTGTCAGCATCTCTGACGGCTTCCTAATGCCAGATAATCCTTCCTGTCTGCATGTGCTGGGGTCCTTTGCCAGACACTTGTACTCTTTACGATTATTTACTCCATGTCACCCACACCCACACCCTGGGAAGTGGCCCTTAGTGTCTTCACTGAACCAGAGACGGGCGGAGGCGCAGAGGTCAAGTGGCTGTCTGGCAGCACATGCACAGCTAGGGTTCCCCAGACCACAGCCTGGCTGCACAGGACTCTCTGAAAGACAGTGTTAACTAGGAACACAGGTGCAGGAGGAGCCTGGGTGTAGGTGGCTGCTCCCTGCAGACACGTGATGACAGGCTGCTGGGACTGTGATGATGGGTAACATAGGCACTGTCTCTTCCCATCTTTTAAGTGCCAGCCCCTGGGAAGCAAAAGAGGTAAAAGTCGTTCTGTGGAGCTTCCATTCTTGCTGATAAAACATTTTTCCTTTTATATACACCACCATCACCATCATCACCACCACCACCATCACCATCACCACCACCACCATCACCATCATCATCACCACCACCATCACCATCATCACCATCACCACCATCACCATCATCACCACCATCATCACCACCACCACCACCACCATCACCACCACCACCACCACCACCATCACCATCATCACCACCATCACCACCATCACCACCATCACCACCACCACCACCACCATCACCATCATCACCACCATCACCACCATCACCACCATCACCACCACCACCATCACCACCATCACCACCACCACCATCACCACCACCACCATCACCACCATCACCACCATCACCACCACCACCATCACCACCACCACCACCATCACCACCACCATCACCACCACCACCACCACCACCACCACCATCACCACCACCACCACCATCACCACCACCATCACCACCATCGCCACCACCATCATCACCATCATCACCACCACCATCACCACCATCACCATCACCACCACCATCACCACCATCACCACCATCACCACCACCATCACCACCACCATCACCACCATCACCACCATCACCACCACCACCATCACCACCACCATCACCACCATCACCACCATCACCACCACCACCATCACCACCACCACCACCATCATCACCATCATCACCACCACCATCACCACCACCATCACCACCACCATCATCACCATCACTACTCCATCATCACCGCCATCACCACTACCACATCTTTCTCTTCTTTTCTGCCGTACTCTGTTTATCTCTGGCAAGCTACATTCTCGGTGAGATACTTTTGGGATATCCTTTGACGATTCAAAACCCAGACCTAAAATGTCACAATCAAGAGAGTTAATAAAATGAAAGAATTTTGCCTCAAGTAATGCTTTGTGTTCGCATTACTTGCAAAAGTGGTGGTTGGAGACGAGCAGGAATGAGACCATCTACATGTCTGTTTTGCCTGAACTCTCCCTTGACACATACAGCAGGCCCCTGCTAGGCAACAGAGGGGTACTGAGAGTGTCTTCTGTGACACACTCCTGCTAGCCAGTAGCTGTTGCACAGACCTAGGAAGGCCGCGGGCAGGTGGGTGGGTTGGAGGCATCCTAGGATGAAGGACATTTGAGGATGCAGTACGGGCAGGAAGAGTAACACAAACAAAACCACAGGCGAGGAAACCATGCGGAGGCATTGTAACGGATAAGCCACACCCTTGTCCTCATCTCAGTGCCCAACATGCCACAAGTATACTTCCTGAGAACGTGGTTTCCCGAGACCAGTGACAGCCCATGCTCCTCACTCCTTCCTCCTTATTGCTCTTTAGGGTTCAGGGGGAGCTTCCGATTCTGCCGAGGGAAGACGGTAGGTTCTATGGACCAGGTCATAAGTGTCCTTCATCTTGAATCGCATTCCATCACCTGGGCCTCAGTGACACAGTCATAGCCAACTGCAAGAAAGTCTGGGGAAAATGGGTGACTGATTCCAGGAAGAGAAGGGACAGCTCTTGGGGTTAGCTCGCAGCCTCCACACAGAGATTGAAAGGTGGAATAAAGGACTCCCTCTGCCTTTTACATTTTGCTTCCCTCGCTACATATATAGTAGCATGCATATGCACTATGTACACATGTGCATAGGCATGTATGCATGTATCCCTGAACCATTTTAAAGTAAGTGTATTCCTGTATCCCTAAACAGGTTGGTGTGCGCTTTCCTACACAGCACATGCCCTGGCTCCCTGATCTGTCATGTGGCAGATAACAGTGGCACCTTTCAGAACTGGCTGATGATTGCTCTGAGTGAGGCCCTGGGGCGGCGGTGTTCTCTGTGACCACTGGGACCATTATGCCCCTTTCAGGTATCTGTGACGCAGATGCAGCCAATGATCTCACCCTGAAGGACGGCTCTGTGGTGGGTGAGGCAGAGGACCCTGCTCCCTTTCTGGACAGCTGGCAGGTGCCCAGCTCCTTGACCTCAGAGGGTCAGACCCGCTTCCGCCCAGACAGTTGTACCACGGCTGACTGCTCGCCCTGCCTTCGCATGGTGTCCAACCGCACCTTCAGTGACTGCCACCGCTTTGTAGGTGCCCGTGGCGGGCAGCATGGGGAGCCTTGCTGGGCTGGGCACGCCAGGGTCTGCTGGGCCCTGGGTGTGGGGCACCAGGATGGGCAGCACTGCCTAATGCATTTGTCCAGGTCTCCCCAGAGTCATTCTGTGAGCTGTGGATCCGGGACACCAAGTATGTGCAGCAGCCCTGTGTGGCACTTACCGTCTATGTGGCCATGTGTCACAAGTTCCATGTGTGCATTGAGTGGCGGGGCTCCGACTACTGCCGTGAGTGGGGTCTGGGCACCGTCTTCTGTAGTGCCGTAGTTGTTATTCCATTAGTGTGTGAAGGGGCTCCCACAGGCCGCAGGTCAGCGCTTTCCCAAGCTTAGTCATTTCTTCATTCATTAACTGTACTACTGAGCTTATAAATATTTCACATTATACACAACATATTTGATATTAGTTGATCACAAATTCTTTTGCTATATTTGTATTAATAACAGCAGCAATAATTTTATTTTAATTTGAGTCTATACAATGGGGACAGTAATATTTGTTCCCTTCGGAAGCGCCTTAGGTCAATAAGGGATGATGGGTGTCCATTTCTCCACACCTGCCTGTCACATGGTTACTGCCTGTTAGTTCCCTTTGCTTAACTTCCACTCACTTTTCTGGTCTTTGGATCTCTTCCTCATTTTTTGAAGACAGAAATGAGACCTGACTCTTCCTCACTCCATCCTGGTAGAGGTGGGCCAGATGGGGTAGAGCATTTGGTTTCCAGAAAGGCTGGGGACAGCTCCTGGGAAGACCATGTCTATACATGACAGGTGAAAAGGGAAAGATTTAAAACACAGGGCAATAGTTTTCAAACTATGGATACTGACACAGAGGATATGAAGCCAATTTAAGGAGAGCAACACCAGCATTTTTTAAAAAAAAAAAAATGCAGCAAAATTCAAAATACAGTGTATATTATACATAGTAAACCTTTTTCTTTCAATTTAGCAGCAATTGTCAGCCCACAGGGAACCCGGAGGAGCACTGGCTCCACTGGCTTCACTTGGTATGGCGTGGGGCTCTGCCCAGCTGGCCTGTGTGTACTGAACCCCAGATCCACTGTCACCAGCCAAGACCTCTGGAAAACATTAATCTAAAGCCAGGGGTTGGCAAACTTTTTCAAGGGGCCAGATAGTGAATACTGTGTCTTTGCGAGCTGCACAGTCTGTCCGGAGGACTCTGTTCTACCCTTGAAGAGCAGAGACACACAGAGACCACATATAAATGGGCCATGATGGCTGACCCGTAACCCTAGTACTTGGAAGACTGGGCCGGGAAGATGGATTTTGCCTGAGTCATGAGACCCTGACTCAGCAATGACAACTAAACAGAAACCCAAAGTAACACCAACGGCATTTCACAAACGAATGGGCACATCTGTGTTCTAATAAAACTTTATTTGAAAAGCAGCATTTGGGCTATAGAGGAAGCAGGTCCAGTGTTAAGTCCCAGACTTGGGCATTGCCGAGGCAGCGTGGTGCTCTGTGCTCCTCCTCACCCCGCCCCCTGCCTGGGAACTAGACTAGGCCTGATGCCCATTTTACCTCTACAGCCTTCCTCTGCTCCAGTGGCTCTACCTACCGGGCATGCGTAGCAGCTTGTGAACCCCCTGAAACGTGCCAGGATGGGATGATACTAGGCCCGCTGGACCCAGAGCAGTGCCAGGTGCTGGGTGAGGGCTGCGTGTGCTCAGAGGGTACCATTCTGCACCGGCGCTACTCTACGCTCTGCATCCCTGGGGACAAGTGCGGTAGGTCCCTGCCCCCCCAGCTGGGTCCCCCAAGCCCCGCCTCACGCTAGGGCCCCTTTGCTTCCTGCAGACCATGGCAGAGGCCACGAGCATTCTTGCAGGTCTGCCTTGGGGTGGTTCCGGTTAGATGATAGGGGTCCTAGCCTGAGCCAGTCTGGTGCTTAGTCTCCTGCGCCCCAATGTTCTCCCATTCAGCCTGCACTGACAGCACAGGAGCGCCCCGCGCCCTGGGGGAAACTTGGAACAGTTCCCTCAGTGGCTGCTGGCAGCAACAGTGCCAGGCCCCAGGCACCATCGTACCCGTGGACCCGGATTGCCCTGGTCCCCGACCTGAGAGCTGCCCACGCTTTGGGGAAGTGATGCTGTTACAGCCCACAGAGGACCCCTGCTGCCTGGGGAGTGTGTGCGGTGAGCCTGGCTCTCCACTTCCCTGGCCTTCAGCTACAAGCTAGCAACTGGTCCCAGGGATTCCCGTTGTATGACCACGGCAACCCGGAAGTTGCCGGGACAGACTGGAAAATTAAAGCATCTTTTGGGATGTTCACGGGGGGGGGGGGGGGCATGGGGACCACCAGGCTTTGGGGGCAGGAGTAGAGTGGGCAGAGGTCTGGGACCAGCGTCCTAGTTAGCTCTTTCCCTATACACTCACTGCCCAAGGCTGCTTCTCTAACGTGAGGCTGCTCGCTGGTTGCTCTTGGCAGCCACCGTGGTGGCGTGCAGTTGCTAGCACTGGCGCACCTTCCGCCTAGGTGAATGTCTATTGCTCTTAAGTCTCTGCAGCCGTTTGAGTGAGGGTGAGGCAGGGAGCGTGAGGGGCCCAAGTGTCCAGGCTTCCAGCGGTACTGATGAGAGAGAGAGCACTGGCCTCCAGGTGACAGGCTGTGTGGCCCTGCTGCCTAGTGTGCAACCAGACGCTGTGCGAGGGCCTTGCTCCCACCTGCCGCCCAGGTCACAGGCTCGTCACCCACTTCCAGGAGGGCTCCTGCTGTCCCAGCTACAGCTGCGGTAAGGACTTGGGACCCGAGAGTGGGGGGGCCCGGGGGCCTGGGCTGTGGAGACTGGACAGGGCCAGGCAGGGCCTGCTTTCCGAGCTTATCGTCTCTCTTTTGCTCAGAGTGTGACCCTGGTTTGTGTGAGGATGAGCAGGTCCCCACCTGTCGCCAGGACCAAGTCTTGATTGCCGGCCGCCTAGGGGACTCCTGCTGTACATCCTACTTCTGCGGTGGGTGGGCCGTGGGCTCCACCATCAGCCCCTCCCTCATTCCTCCTCCTGTGGGTGACGGAGAGGGAAGGCTGGGGTAGAGGGAGAAGGATGAAGCCACTACCCAGAAAGCAACGTGGGGCGAAGAGAGAAATGGGCCCCGTGCTTCGGCGAGGTCACTGAGCACAAGCAATCAGTGTGCTTTCGGTGAAGAACTTAAGGACTCTGATGCCAGGGTACCCGAGACCCTAAATACTGCCGTGGGTCAGTTAGGTGTCCTGCCCCCTCACTATGAGAGGGACTTCTGTGACAGTGGCCGCCCTTCCACACCCACAGGCTGTGGCGAGTGTCCAGACCCCATCCCCGAGTGTGTGGAAGGAGAGGCACTCACTGTACACAGGAACAGCACGGAGCTCTGCTGCCCACTGTATCAGTGTGGTGAGTCCCGCCCTGGGGTGTCTGGGTACACTGTAGGGTTATAAACGGGCTGGGGGGGGGGTACCCAGCCTGACCGTTCTGCATCCTGAGCACCTGTAAAGTCTGAGACTAATGTGTCACCTGTCTCTCCCGCTCCTGCTGCCTGCACCCCAGTGTGTGAGAGCTTCCGCTGCCCGCAGGTACAGTGTGGCACGGGCACTTCCCTGGTAGAGGTGTGGAGCCCAGACCGCTGCTGCCCCTACAAGTCCTGTGGTGAGTTTTGTCAGGTATGGGGGGGAGAGCCCCCCCACCTCCTCAGCCTCCCCAGGCTGTGCAGGGCTCCCGGCCTCACTCTGAGCATGCAGCAGCAGCCCCCCACCCCACCCCGCCCCGCCGGGGTCTTTCCACTCCCGATAGTAAGGGTAGCCCGTGAGCTCAAGCCTTCTTGGAAGGCAACATCAGCGATCCACAGTGAACAGTGCTGAGCTTTACACAGAGCTTTGGAAGTTGGGAGACGGCTTTTGGATGCCTTTCCCAGACCTCACCGGAATATGTGACATGTGAGGGCAGAATCGTACTCAGCTTTATCCCTCATGTTGTCTTCGGAGCACAGAACAAGCCAGCCGTCTAGGGAGCATTTAGGTCCCTGTGTTGTATGAGCCAGTGACCCAGAAGGGACTTTCCCAGCCAGTCTGGCTTGTGGCCCTTGGTCATCAGTTCCGGGTGCCTTCAGGCCACTGTGCACAGGTAGACCTGCCCCGTCAGGCTGTGCTGGCAGGGCTCCCTGCCGGAACTTTCTTGTGGAAAATGCAAGTGGAAGTTGCAGCTTGCAGTGTTTGCTCCTGGAGAGGCCATACTTAAAGGGGTCACAAAGGGAAATGTGAGTGTCTGCTTACCTGTGAGGTTGAAAGGAGGCTGGTATCTCTCTGCCCACCTCCTTGGGGTGGGCCAGGCTTAGAGTTGTGCCTCAGGAGGAACTGGTCTGCGGGAAAGTGTCTGAACATCCCTGGGAGCTAGGCCCTGGCTTCTTGTGTTTTGCAGAGTGTGACTGTGACACAATCCCTGTGCCCAGATGCCATCTGGTATGGAGACCCTGCCTGCCTCTTCCCACCCTTGCTGGTCTGTTTCTCTTTTCCTTTCCCCTCTCCTGGAGACTCTTCCTAGTGCAGAGAGCCCTGGATCTCAAGTTAGCACGAATGTCCCAAGCTCTGCCCCTCGCTCTGGGCACTGTGTCCACTTTTCTCGGAGAGTCAGCTTGGCCACGCATCACAAATGTGCTGAGGAATAAGCATGCTGATGCTGCGGGTGGTGGCGATTCTGGTGGAGATGGTAGTGAGGGCGGTCAGGATGGTGACAATGATGATGGTGATGAAGATGGCGGATGATGGTGGGGTTGGTGGAGATGAAGGCAGAGATGATGGCGATGATGGTGGGGTTGGTGGGAGGCTGGCTGGGATGGTGAAGATGGTGAAGGTGGTTGTGATGGTGATATAGATGGTGATAATGGTGATGTTGGTGTTGATGATAATCTCAGGGCCAGCTTCTGAGATCTTACCAAGGCCTAAATTTTCCCAGGTCTTTTTAATGAATTATCTTATTAATTTTTACGATAAGTTCGAGAGATCGATTCTATGATGATCTCAATTATATAAACAAGGATGCTGAGATTGAGGTCATGAAGCTGGTAAATCACAGAGCCAGGATTAGAATCTTATGGCCCCTGCATTGTCCCAGCACACATTGTGTGTGTGTGTGTGTGTGTGTCTTCCCCTCGCCATCCCCCCTTCTTTCCTGACACTGGTAAAGAAACTAGGACATGGGTCAGGTGACAGCCGGGGGGGGGGCTCTGAGGACAGGAAGCTGGACCGTGGGGAGAGGACTGAGCTTCTGGGTGCAGAGAGGCCCCAAGTTTGCCATCTTCTTCTGCCCAGTGCACACAGACCCAATAGCAGGCTGATTCTGAGGGTGGCGTTAGGCTGTCCGCTCAGGATACTGACTTCCTCTGTCACCCACAGTGGGAAAAGTCCCAGCTGGATGAGGGGTTCATGCACAGTGTGGAGAACGTGTGTGGCTGTGCCAAGTATGAGTGTGGTGAGTGGGGAAGGGCAGATTCTGGAGGCTGGGGAGGCGACCCTCAGGTGGGCCAGCTGGGAGGGGCCGGGATGGGTGCCTGGGCTCTCCAGGACAGTTCCTCCCCCTTCACCCATCCAGTGAAAGCCCCCGTGTGCCTGAGCCGTGAGCTGGGGGTGATGCAGCCAGGCCAGACTGTGGTAGAGCTTTCAGTGGATGGCGTGTGCCATACATCCCGATGCACAGATGTGCTGGACCCTCTCACCAGCTTCTACCAGATCAACGTCACCTCTGTCCTTTGTGACATGCACTGCGAAGCGGTAGGGAAGTTGTGGGTGCATGTGGGGTGCGTGTGGGGTGCGTGTGGGGTGCGTGTGGGGTGCATATGGGGTGCGTGTGGGGTGCGTGTGGGGTGCGTGTGGGGCGAGTGTGGGGTGCATGTGGGGCGCTGTGGGGTGCGTGTGGGGTGCGTGTGGGGTGCATGTGGGGCGCTGTGGGGTGCGTGTGGGGTGCGTGTGGGGCGCATGTGGGGTGCATTGGGGCATGTGTGGGGTGTGTGGGGTGCATTGGGGCACATGTGGGGTGTGTGGGGCGCGTGTGGGGTGTGTGGGGTGCGTGTGGGGTGCATGTGGGGTGCGTGTGGGGCGCGTGTGGGGTGCATATGGGGTGCGTGTGGGGTGCGTGTGGGGTGCGTGTGGGGCGCGTGTGGGGCGCGTGTGGGGTGTGTGGGGTGCGTGTGGGGTGCGTGTGGGGTGCATTGGGGCACATGTGGGGTGCATTGGGCACATGTGGGGCGTGTGGGGCGCGTGTGGGGTGTGTGGGGTGTGTGGGGTGTGTGGGGTGCATGTGGGGTGCGTGTGGGGTGTGTGGGGCACGTGTGGGGTGTGTGGGGTGTGTGGGGTGTGTGGGGTGTGTGGGGTGTGTGGGGTGTGTGGGGTGTGTGGGGCGCATGTGGGGTGCGTGTGGGGCGTGTGGGGTGCATGTGGTCACGAGGGCCAGGTTGGCAGACCCTCAGCAGGTTGCTGCCTGCTCCCAGAATCTAGAGAGCAGGCGTCAGTAGCTTTCAGAGCTCTATGGAGAGGAGAGCCCAGCTTGGCAGGAGGGGGAGGGGGCCGCGGGAGCGAAGGGACTGAGGTAAAGCCTGGGGAAGTAGAAGCCTTGCTGCCTGGTCGCGAGTGGAGGGAGGCGGTGGGTCCAGCCCTGGGCTCTGTCAGAGACCTGGAGGACGAATGTCGCAGGGCATGGGGCTGAAACGGCCTTCTCTGCCCTGGCCCTCAGAACCAGGAGTACGACCACCCGCGGGACCTGGCTGCCTGCTGTGGCTCCTGCAGGAACGTGTCCTGCCTCTTCACCTTCCCCAATGGCACCACTTCCCTCTTCTTGGTAAACAGCCCCTAAGCCCACCTAGGAATGGGTCCCAGAAAGTGCCACCAAGACCAGGGTCCTCTGCGGACCCCACACCGAGGCTTGGTGGACATCCGCGCCAGGCCCTGAGGCGTACGCGTCCTCAGGCTGTCTGTCTGTCTCACCGCCCGTGCATGTGCTCTCTAGCCTGGCGCGTCCTGGATTGCAGATTGTGCCCGCCATCACTGTGGCAGCACCCCTCTGGGTGCTGTACTTGTCCGCTCGCCCATCAGCTGCCCTCCGCTCAATGAAACCGAGTGTGCCAAGGTCAGTGTCTCCTGCAGCTGGCTTCATGCCAGGGCACCATGTCTCACTGGTGGCGAGATCTGGGTCAGAGTCCTGTTGTTGGCACTGCATGTCAAATTCACATCTCTCCACGCACATTTTTTTTTTCTCAGTCACACCCCAGATCTCCACACCATATGACCACACATCAAGGCATGTAATCAATCACATCATCATGTGTTCCAGGACTCACCTTGGGTTGCTGATCACTCATACTCCACAGGGACATCAGTACATTCATCATGCCAGTGCACACACCACACACCTGCAGACAGACACGCTCTTGCACATACGTGTCCCAGGCTTATGCATACATGCATAGTTTAGTCCTGCGGTAGGGTGACATGCTTCCTGACTGGTGTGGAGGGCTATCAGTGTGGATGAGACTCAAAAAGTAGGATCCCTGGAGGACTGGGGGGTTGCAGGTGAATTAATATGGTTCCTGAGATTAATAATAGACAATTGAAGATCTCTGCCTCTTTAGATAATAGACACACAGGGCTGTGGCTCAGTGTGTACAGTGCTTGCTTAGCATACGAGGAGCCCTGGGTTTAGTCTACAGAGCTCCTGCTGGGGGGAACCAGGAGAGGAATACTACCTTAGACTCCTTATGTGTTGTTTATTTAGTTGGTTTTTGACACAGGATTTCATTTTGTATTCCCGCTAGCCGGGAACTCACTATATAGTCCAGGCTGGCCTAGAACTTGTAGATTATCAGCTCTCTGAGACTGCTTGTGCCTATCACTGGGATCTTGGCTGTTGTCCCGGAGCATGGATTCCCCACCCACTCCTCCTCTTCTCCCTCTAGGTTGGCGGCTCTGTGGTACCGTCCTTGGAAGGATGCTGTAGGACATGTGAGTGAGCATGATGGAGATCCGGGCGGGGCGCAGTGTGCAGGGGGTGGGGAGCTTACCACGGTCCCTATTAGACCCACCACAGTGCCACTGCCACTCAGTTAGGAGGTGGGCAGACACATGGCTATTCCCAAGTGTTCCTTGCAGGTAGCCCTAAGCTCTGGGAGTGATGGAAAGGCAGATTCCTTGCCTCTAGTGAAGGCCATTAATCCGCATGCATGCTGGGTACTGAGCCACATCTCCTGAGTTTTAGCAGCTTCCACTTATCTTGTACCCACCCATGTCCAAGGCCGCCATTGCTTTCTCCTACTGGACACTCAGCCTTCCCCATTCCAGGGCCTATAGGGCTGTGGCTAGGGCAGCCCTCTAACCTGTCTCTCAACCTGAGTCTCAGAGGTCAGGAGAAGGGATTCTAACCAGTTGGTTTCTCCTGGGTTGCGTGGGCTTGCAGGACAGGTCCAAACTTCTAGCAGACAAGTAATGAGTACGACTGTGTGCCAGGCACTGCCCAGGAGCTGTGGACACGGCATCAAGAAGACCTTTGTGGGTGTCATTTTTGGGGGAGGCACAGGTGTGGTAGATTGTAAGGTGGAGGCTACAGGGTCCCAGTCATGAGTGGGGACCCTCAAGCGAGAATCCACAGCCACACAGCTGCACTGAAGTGTGAAAGAGAATATTTGCATTGAGAACCGGACTCACACTGCAGTGAGGGAGGCCATGTAGACGAGGGCCCCGAAGCTGACAAGCTTAGGCCTCCATAGCAAAATTACAGATGTGCCTCTGGCCAGATAGATTGCGCCTGGGACAGAATAGGCCAAGGAAGGCCCAGGGAGGGCTGAGGAAGGGAATTGCAGTTTCCAGAAGAGGAGATCTAGGGAGGTCTCACCAGGGCCTGGGGAGGAGCGTTGAAGAAAACTGCTCAGGAGTCTCTCGAGTGTCTGTCTGTCTGGGAGAGCTGTGATGTGGGCAGAAGGAACTCCATCCCTGACCCCTGCTTGAGAGCTGTGGATCCCCCAAGGGCCTTGCTGCGTGGAGCATCCTGGTTGGGCCCGAGGTTTCCATTCATGGCAGCACCTTACTGCTAGATGCCCTCTCAGAGAGGAAACACTGAAGCTCAGAGAGGGTGTGAAGACGTATCCAGGGTCTCCAACACAGGGGACAGATAAGTGTTGGGGTGTGGGTGTGGAGAGAGCCTGACCTTGTCTCAGATCTTTTCGTAGGTCGGAGCCCCGGGACTCCGTCTAGCCATCATGCTCACGCTGCTGCCATCCTTAGTATCACCCCGTTCCAGGGCGTTGGCTAAAAGGGGTTTCCCTGGCTGGAGAGGTGCATTAATGCATGGGCACCAACCTGGAAAAGAAACAGTCTTGCATGACTTTAACTACCCCAGGCTGACCTGTCCTGATGCCAGTCTGGGGCACAACTGTTTTGCCCCTCTCCCCCCCCCCCCACCCCTCACTTCCCAATCCCCCCCCCCCCTGCTCCTACCAGGTAAGGAAGATGGACGCTCTTGCAAGAAGGTGACCATCCGCATGACCATCCGCAAGAATGACTGCAGGAGTAACACCCCTGTGCGTGCAGGGGTGGGCATCGCCCGGGGGAGGGGCAGAGGCAGCCGGGGAAGCAGCCCTTCCCCAGGTTACCTCGCTGACATGCTCATCCCCAGGTGAACCTGGTATCTTGTGATGGGAGGTGCCCTTCTGCCAGCATCTACAACCACAACATCAACACCTATGCCCGCTTCTGCAAGTGTTGCCGCGAGGTGGGGCTGCAGCGTCGCTCTGTGCAGCTCTTCTGTGTCTCCAACGCCACCTGGGTGCCCTACACGGTACAGGAGCCCACAGACTGTGCCTGCCAGTGGTCCTGAGACCTGGCTGGGTACCAGTGCTGTCCAGCTCACCCCTGCAACCCTCGTGTTCTCCCTTCGGCTGGCCTAGGTGACTAAGGGGAGAGGTTAAAGGTGGGAGAGAGCTTGTTTGTACTGTGTGTGGAATGGTGAGGGGCATCCACAAGGGACCAGACTAGACCCTACTTGTGCATCCTGGCTCCCTCTCTGGGCCCCCCACATGCATGTGGGGAAGTGCCACTCCTCAGGGCTTCTGGACCTCAACTCTACATGGCTTGAGGTCAGCGTGGGGCTGCAGATCCAGTAGCTGAAGGTACCGTTGAGACTCTTCTGACCAGGGGTTCTTGGCGGAGGAACTGAGACTTTGCTGATACGCTGCAATCAGAGCAGAGCCCAGGGCTGGACGGGTTACGATTTGGCAGCCTTCTCCTTTCTTGGCCGTCTTAACAATGGGAGGGGCACAGTAACAGGAAAGGGTGTTCAAATAAAATCCAGGCCTGTGTCAAGCGGTTTGGTGTTTCCCAAAGCAAAGAGGATAAGCCTGGGGGCTTAGGGCTGCCCACGGAGAGTTATGAGGGTATGCTTGGGGGCCAAGGAGTAGGCGACTTCTCCAGCCTTACGGGGTGCCCTGATGTTCTGGAGTTTAGAAGGGCAGGCCCAGGTCTGTGGCTCTGTGTCACATGCTCACCTCAAGCCAGCTTTGCAGATGAGTGAAGGATGATCTCCTCAGCGGGGCCCAGGTTCCCATGTCACCCCTCTAAGTAGATCTAGGTTGTGGGTGGCACTTCCAGCCTGAAGTTCTGCATCTTTTCTCCAAGAGTATGGCAAGTGTGTCTGTGCAAGGGCCTGCATGTGTGTGCGTTGTGGCTCAGCCAATTCCGGTCCCAGTGCTGCCTGGGACTGTGTTGATGGAAAGTGTCTGTAGGTAGAAACGCAGCCATGTGAGTGTCCGTCAGAACATTGTCTCCAAACCAAAGCCAGGGCCAGTGCTCTCGTCCACCTGCCACTCTGCAGAACCCCCCCTCCTTCTTGCCCCCCTCCTTCTTGCCCCCCTCCTTCTCGCCCCCTCCTTCTTGGACTGCTTTGTGCTGCTTGTTCTCAAAGGTCATGACCTGATGCTGTTCAGGCCCCAGCATTACCCTGATGCCCCTGTGGGGTAAAGGCTCTGTGTCAAGACCATCCCCACATATGCTTTGCCTGTGTAACCCTCCCGTATTTTGCTCATATATCAATAAACTGCGAGAAGACTTGCAAGCATCTCTGCGGATGCCAGGCCTGCCTTGGATACAGGAGAGCATCAGCTGTGAGGAGAGCCCCTCTCTGAGGGCCCCAGAGGTCTATTGGACTTCTACAGTGTGCCTGACTGTACCCCAGCTCCCTCCCACCCAGGCACGCCCTACTGCCTGCCCATGTCCCCAGCTCCCTCCCACCCAGGCACGCCCTACTGCCTGCCCGTGTCCCCAGCCTTCCAACTCACATTCCCGGCACTGCTGCCAGGTCTCTCCTGGGAAGACCAACTACTCCAGGCTGAAACACGGGAAAGATGAACAAATCCCCAACCCTGTCCTGCACCGTGGGCCGTGAGGTCCATAACTGTCCATAACTGTGCCTCACACTGTGGAGCAGACAGCAAGGAGCAGAAACAGAGGACCACAGCTGGTGGTGTCCAGATGCTCTCAGAAAACAAGACCAGCAGGACGATGTGCGCATGCACAGAACTCAGGTTGAGGAGAAAGTCTTTTGATGTCATTATGCTTTAGGCAACTAGGGTAGCCTGGTTGTGTCCCTCTGAAGGGACACAGGGCATATCCCTGGAACCTGGGAAGAGGTCTTCATTTTACATGACAAAGAGTCTTTTCAGGCGTGGTGATTAGTCTGGGTTACTAAGATGGGTCCTTACAATGTGGCAGGAAGGCTTGAGTCAAGAGGAGACACAATGATGTGGAAGATGGAGTGAGGTTCTTGGAATGAGGATATTGATGTTTAATAAGGATCAGGAGAAACACACAGGCCAAACAGATGTTTATTTAGGGAAAAATAACTCACAACATAGACAGATGAACACCAACAGGTCCCAAGGATGCCTCCGGATGCGCTCCTGTCCCGTGATGCAAGCAAGAGAGAGCTCTCTAGCCCCCTCCTCAGCCTCAGTTCCCCCAGGTCACGCCTGGCCCTTCTCCACCCCCAATGGGCGTGGTCTATGCCACAGGTGCGGACCAGGTGAGTGTCTCACTACAGGAGGAAGTGATAACAACCAGGAGATCCAGACGGCTCCTAGAACCTGGAATTCGAGAAATGGTTTCTGGGCTGGTGTCTTAGTTAGTCGTCTACTGCTGTCATAAACACCATGACTAAGGCATCTTAGGAAAGACAGTGTTTAATTTGGCTTATTGTTTCGGAGAGTTAGAGTCTATGACAGCAGAGCAAAGGAGCAGCTGACAGCTCACATCTTGATCCACACTGGGAGACACAGAGAGAACTAGGGATTACAACAAGGCCACGCCTCCTATCCTTTCCAAACAGTTCCACCAACTGGAGACTACGTATTCAAACACATGGGCCCACAGAGGCCATTCACATTCAAACCGCCCCGGCTGGGGGGTGGTTCAGCCAGTAAAGTGCTGGCCTTGCAAACACAGAGTTCAGTCCTTGACCTACTTTAGAAAGCCAGGCATAGGGGCTGAAGAGATAGCTCCACATTAAGAGCACGTGCTGCTCTCAAAGAAGATTTGGCTCAGTTCACACATGTGGTGCACACACATACATTCATACTCATAAAACTTTTTTTTTTTTTTTTAAAAAGCTGGGTATATGGGGTGTGTTTGTAGTCCCATCACTGAGCAAGTGGACACAGGCAGATCCCTGGGGCTCATTGGTCCACCAGCCTAGCCTAGTCAGTGAGCTCTAGGCCAGTGAGAGACTCTTTCTAAAACAATATAGACCCATATTCTTCTGATGAGAGGCAACACTGGAGCTCTGACCTTTACACACACACACACACACACACACACACACACACACACACACACACACACACACACAGTGTAGCTTTCCTTAGAGCCTCCAGGACGAACACAACCCTTCTAGCCTTACCAGGCTCAAATCAAGGGCAAAGAGGCCTGGAGCCAAGACCTGTGAGAGCATTTAGCTTTAAGGCCCTAAGTCTGTGAATTTTTGTCATAGCAGCTGCAGTAGGAAACAGCATCTAAAGCAGGAACCCAACAAAGAAGGCCAAGCCAGGGTGCAGGCTGTAACAGGGTCCTAAGTTTGAGAACAGATACCGATGGTCGGTTCCTACCAATGGGGAACAATGAAATGAGCTGGAACAGCCACACTATATACTACTATCCACCCCTCTGGTGTAGCTGACCCATTGTGCTTTCCAGCGCAGTTACATAAAAAAGGCAAATTATGGGTTGGTTCCCAAGAACTTACCTCCTTCATTGCCTGTACGTGGGACACACATTGTCATTTGCACTGGCCTCATGACTTTAAAGGGTTTTCACAGCTGAGTACGACCCTTCCTTGCTATTCTATGCAGCTCTCAATGACACCTTTGGCCCTGAAATAGCCCTTCCGCTCCTAGGACCCCAGTGGTCATCACTGTGCACACCAGACTAGAACCAGGACTCCAGGGACATCTGCAACACCCCCCTCCCTAATTCTTTCTCATTCTGCACAGGACATAAAACCAGACAAAGTCAGAAGCCACATGTCCTATGGTAGTGAAACGAGGCCACAACCAAGCTAGTCACTCACTCAGAGGGTTGGTGGCCAAGCAGGGTGGCTGCCCAGCCTGCAAACCCCATGACGTATTTGCAAACACCAGGGGGCTGTGAGCTGCAGAGCCATCCCATTCTCCTTGGTACAGGCTCAAGTTCCTGGCCCTGATTTCCAGGGCTTAATCCTCTTCCTGTGGAAATCAAGGGGACATTGTGATGGAGTGATTCATGTTCAAGGTCAGGCCGCAGCAAATTGGAGGCGACATGCTGATTTTAGTGCCCTCACCAGAGGAGAGCCAATCCTGTGCACAGACCCCTTAACCCTTTCCACACCATGCCTGTTACTCCTGTCAGCTTCAAGTCTGGGTCCCTAAGGCTTCTACACCTCCTATGTGGTCCATCTGTTACACTTCCCCAAGGTCCTGAGGTTTTGGTGGTTTGTGCAAGGCAAATGACAAATTCAGGGACGGTTTCACCTTGAAATAAAATGAATAACTTTACCAGCCCATTTTGGCCATGACAAGCTCTCCCTGTAGATATTTTGCACCCTAAGCCTTGTTCCAAGTTCCAGGCTTTCCGTGGTGTGTGTGTGTGTGTGTGTGTGTGTGTGTCTGTGTGCGTGTGCGTGTGTGTGCACGTGCACATGAGCGCCAGTGTCCCTGCATGTGCATAATATCTTTTTTCTGTGATTCAAGCATAATGGGAAAAAATTTTCACCTCTTATTTACAAAAAAGCTTTCAAAATAGGTGGGCCTGAGTAGCTGCAACTTTGTATCCAGAATAATCTAGAGACCCTGGTTTCTCTTTCTGGAAGGTCCCATGGTAGCTCTGGCCACTTCTGCCAGGCCTGTGCCCCGGGGTTCAGGGAGCATGCATCGTAGGAATGAGAGGATGCTGTAGTAAATGAAAAGTGGGTTACTTCTTGCTGTGGTCATTACACTGTCCTGAAAAGAGGCCTGTGGTCACACCTAACTGCAAGGGAGGCTGGGAGATGTAGTCCATCTGCACGCCCAGGAAGAGGCTGGCGGATGGAGTCTTGGGAGAAAACAGAGGCAGTAAAGAAGATGCCACTGAGAAGTTGAAGGACAAAGGAAAGTCAGGTCATGTGGTCAAATTAGGATTCTTTTATTCTTCATGGAAAGAAGTGGATTGAAATGAAATAGTGAAGATGGGGCTTTTGGAGAGAGGCTATGTGCTGTGTGACGGGGGACTAGGATGGGGCCAAGTGTCCCTGGCCTCAGACACTGCCTTACATAACAGAGAGATCATAGAAAAATGAGTCTGAGCATGCCAGCAAGTGTGATGGTG